TCACAAATGGAAGGCACTTGTGTCTCATTCTGAAAAAAAAGGAAAAATTTCAATATAATAATATTCTATATATATATATATATATATATATATATATATATATATATTAGGGATGTCAACGAGTACCCCATTAACTGGGTACTCGATCGAACGTCCGAATATCGAATACTAAAAATGGTACTCAGTTACTCGGATATGTATTTTTTCTTATTTCAATGTACATATTTTTTCACAAACTTGTCAAAAAATAACTTAAATATGCATATGGGTAATTAGCGTGTCATCATCTACACATGTAAACACCCAATATAGCCTATGGCTGTGTATATACAGTAATTAGTGACCAATCACCTGGTACACAGCTGTTCTCACCTATTGTGGTCCTTAATTTTTTTATGGCTTCCATGATTGTTTTTCAGTGAACATTGTTTAATATGGTCTATTATCTTCAAATAATTTTTACATAATTTAGTTAATATACGGCAGCGAAATCGGACATGCATAGAAATGCCCCTACCCACTTCAAAATAAGTAAAGATTTAAAAAAATGTTTAAAGTCAGTTTCCATAGCAAGTTTAGTGTATACGGGGGAAACAACCAACATATAAAAAAATATTAGACTAGCGATCCAAACAACATCCGTTCCTTCTCTTTCGCTAGTCTAATCATCACAAATCTGCATAACAGATTGTCCTCCTTTTGCATTGATGAAATAGATCCTAAACAAGAACTGTAAACTATCTGTAATTTTGATGTATTAATTGCATCATTTGTGTTAATTTAATAAATAAATTTAGTACCAAAAATCATTTCTGTTGGACTCCATGTCTCCATGTTTACATACATTCATAAAAAGCGATAAAAACAGCTTTGGGGTTTAACAAATTAACAATTAAAAATTAACAAACTTGTATTTACATTTATAAATATATATATATATATATATATTTGTGTCTGCTTTCCTTTGATACCAAATAGAAGAGACCCATGGGCCACATTGCTCATCTGAGCACATTGGCTAAGAAAAAGCACAAATCAGTTCAGTATTGAATAGTATTTGATTCCCCATTGTGGCCCAACCCTGGCCTAACCCCAGGGGTTATCATTTGAACAAACTTGAATCTACACTACCTGAGGATGCTTCCAAATCAATATGACTGATAATGGCTTTAATGTTCTTGAAAAGAATACTGGTTATTTTTAAAGATTCATTCTACCCCCGGGGATTATCATTTGAACAAACTTGAATATAAACTATGTAAAGAAAGTTTCCTATAAGTTTGAACTTTTTTGGTCAAGTGGTTCTTGAGAAGAAGAATTTTAAAGATGCCACCACATTTTCACTTTTTCTGAAATATCTTCCCTTGAAAGAGGACATGGCCCTTCATTTGATCAAACTTGAATCCCCTTTACCCTAGGATGCTTAATGGCAAGTTTGGTTGAAATTGGCCCAATGGTTCTGGAAGAGAAGTCGAAAACGTGAAAAGTTTACGGACAGAAGACAGACAGACTACAGATAAAATGTGATCGGAAAAGCTCACTTGAGCTTTCAGGTCAGGTGAGCTAAGAAGTATATGTAAGGAAAAGTCCTGAACATCTATAATTTTCTTGGATGTTCTTAAATAGAACAGGACAGGACATCTACTGCATAAATGTATCAGAAGGAATAAACTTCCAAACTTACCAAGAAAAATTAATCAAGATCCTCTCCAGTTCTTCATTTTCATAGTTAAAAAGAACTCTGCTCCAAAAACTTTAACCTGGGACACCAACACCAATGCTGAGGGTATCACATAAGGTTCCCCAATTTCGTTGCGTTGAGCTAAAAACTAAGAAATGACTTTCTGTATTATATTCTATGACATTTCTTGTATAAGTATCTCATTCAATTTCAATTACATCATTTACAATGATATATTATCATAGGTGAATAGCAGAGGGGAATAATTTCTCTCAGTAGAATATAAATTAATGAAGCCCAGTTCAAGCCCTGCCCCAAACCCGGACACTTGACCAAGTGTTCCAAAATTTAAAACATTTGTTAAAAATGCCCTTGCTCAACACAACTTTGTACTCTTTTTGTCTCCTAGTTGCCCAGGAGCATAGATGAAGATTTTCAAAGAAATAAGGATGTTCAGATTCCACACAGCACCACATAAACACCAAAAGACCTGACTCAGGGGGCTATTATTTTCATAACTTTAAAAGAGGTATCCTTGCTCATCATAACCATACCATTCATTTGTCTGCTTAATACCACTAGGTAAAGAAGAAGATACTTAGAAAATTTATGCATTTCACTATCTTATCTAAAGAACACCTAAACACTCTGACCTAGATTGGGCCATGAAATTCACCATTTTGAAAGAGGCACCTTTGCTCATCATAACTATGCTTTTATTTTTGGTTAGCTCAATATCCAGGTGCAGAAATGAAAATTTCCAAAGATATATTGCATATATATATACTTTAATAGGCCCCCAAAACACCAGAACCATTGACCTTGGAGCACCACATTTCACAATTTTAAAAGAAGTTTCTTGCTCATCAAGCACTAAATTCATATGCTAAATACCCAGTAAAACCTCACCCTGACACCAGAACCCCTGACTTTGGAGCCACTTATACTTAGATTTCTGCTTAATACCCAGGAGCAAAGAAGATTTTCAAAGAAAAACATACCGGCACACAAGCATCAATAAAGCCCCACCCTAACACCAGATCCCCAGGGCCTGGGGCCAAAAATTTTACAATTTAAGTAGAGGTGCCCTTACTTATTAGAACCATGCACCTAGTTTACCTGATAAGTTATACAGAGAGGAGAAGGTTTTTAAAAAGAATTTATCCATTTTCATTATATGATCATTAGAGCTCTGCCCTAACTCCAGAATCCCTAACCCTCCTTCATGAATTTCAAAGTTTTGGTAAGGGCTCAGTGCTTATTACAATCATGCCAACAGTTTGACTGCTAGATGTCCAGGAGTTATGATGAAGATTTTGAAAGATTGCACTAATTTTGATGGTTTAAACTCCACCCCTCAGTCCCCAGGGGGAGGGGGGGGAGTGACCATGAAATTCAAAATTTTTGTACCCCTTCACTTATTAATGCTATTCCAAAATTAGTTGAAATTGGTTCAAAGGTTCAAGAGAAAAAGCTTAAAAAAAGACCTATAGTTTATGACCAACAAATGACACACATCCACAGAAAAGTGACTCAGGTGACCTAAAAATATATTTCTTTGTACATAACTTGTCTCCTAATGTGGTCTTATCCTATATGGGGGTCATGATTTGCATAAATTTGAAACTGCACTACTTGAGGATCCTTGCTTATTAGACTTCCTTAACAAAGCCAAGCTGCTCTTTTATAAGTATTTTTCCTATATATATGTATTCCTGTGTCAAATCTTTCCTGATCCTAAATTCTGGGACCACAGTTTGAACAAATTTGAATAGATCTACTCTTTTGTCTAATCCTAATATAAACTCCTTTAGTTGCATGATAAGCTTCTTGATTGTAAACATGACCTTTTATGCACTATAGCTACATATAATCAGTACAATATAAAACAAGAGGCCCATGAGCCACAATGCTCATCTGAGGAATACAACCCTTCTTCATCAACAGATTCTTTTTCCTGTACATATTCCTACTTAAAATTTGATATCATATTGTAGCCCCACCCTTTTCCCAAGAGTCATGATTAACAAACTTGAAATTACACACCCGAGGATGCTTCCATGTAATCATGACTAATCATGACTTTGCTTGAGAAGATTTATACAGATTTTTCCTATATATTTGTAGGTAATACTTTCATCCTCTACTGTGTCCCCACCCTACCCCCAGGCATCATGCTTTGAAAAACTTGAATCTAAAAAAGTTGTTGTGGGTGCTTTATTGTCAATATGACTAATCATGCCTTTGCTGTTCTTAATACAAAATAAGATTTTCCCTATGTATTCCCATGTAAAACTCTGATTTCCCGCACTTGCCCCACCATACTCCCAGGGACATGAATTGTATAAAACTTAATTTATTCTATGTCAGGAAGCTTTTACTTGGGTTTCGTATTTTCAAGCCTAGTGGTTCTTAAGAACATTTGAACGATCATACCAAATTTTTACTGTTTCTTAATTATCTCTGCTGGGAAGAGATGTGGTCCTTCGTCAGAATGAATTTCCTTTACCAAAGCATGCTTTGTACGAAGTTTGTTTGAAATTGACACAGTGGTTCTAGAAAAGAAGGTGAAAATGTGAAAAATTATGAAGGAGATGGACAAATGCACAAATTTTGATCAGAAAGAGCTCACTTGAGCCTCCAGCTGATATGAGTTAATGCTAAATAGAGATGTTAGTGTGAAATAATTAATTCAGGAGGTAATTGAATTAGATCCCTCTTCCTTAAAACTTTGATCATTTTTTGTGGTCCCATCCTACCCCAGGAGATCATGAATTGAACAAACTTCAATCTACACTACCTGAGGATGCTTCCCCCACTTCTGCCCCACTCTACACCCCGTGGTCATGATTTGAGCACACTTCAACCTACACAACCTGAGGATAATTCAATATAAATATGACTGATCATTAGTTTGCTGTTCTTGAGAAGATTTTTAAAGATATTTCCTATATATTTCTATTTATAAATTTGATCCCCTGTTGTGGCCCCATGGCTAAGCTGTGCTTAAGATGAATATTCTTTAATGAGTTTTCCTATATATACCTATGTAAAAATTGTTCCCCTGTTGTGACCCCGCCCTGAAAAAAATAAGGCAGAACATTCGAGAACTTAATGAAAATTGTGGACTTCCTGATACCACATCAGAGCGGAAGGACATGCCAGATATAATAATGCCACCTTCAGTGCCATTGGAAAAACCCCATTCCAAGCTGCCACCAATGTGACTTATACCACAAGTGAAAATGTTACTCAGAGGAAAAATGTTGTGGCAGTGTTGTGTGGGAATAAACTATGCAAGAAAGGCAGACCCCTGAGAAGCAAAGGAAAGGAAGTTATCTGCCTAAGACACGAAGACTGCACTGCAACCATTCCTCCAGAGGCCACCACTGAAGATGAGAAGAGATGGGCTGCAAAATGGTGAGTTACAAAGTGATGACCGTCCACTAGTCATTTCCCATTTCACCAGTGATGGAGATGGAGCAGCTGCATCTGGTGAATCTGAAAAACAAGGACATGTCATTGAAAACCTTAAAGACTTGCATCATTTCTTTGACTCTCAAAGACAACAGAAGAAATCCAAAACTGCGAAAAATCCAAAACTGTTAAAATGCATGTACAGTATATATCTCAAAGAAAATACTGTGCAAGTCACAATATATATGCGTTCCGATTTTCCACTAGTGATGGAACAGCGCATGAGGGATCTGAAGATGACGGCGAGCACGGAGCCGGGAGAATGTTACTCAAAGCACTCGCTGATAATGATATAAATAACGCACTGGTGGTCGTCTCGCGGTGGTGTGGTAGTAAAATCGGACCCAGACGTTTCACACATATCAACGAGGTTGGGTTAAGTGCAGCAAGAAATATGCCAGTCCCCGTCTGACGCTAAAATCAAAATCATGAACAGTCACAGGTTAAATATATATTAATAGTAACTCACAGTTAACTCACAGTTAACAGTTGTGTACATTTTTTTTTAACTTTCATGGCAAATTTGTAATGCCTAAAATATTTATTTCAGTAGTTTTTCATAGGGTTATATTCATGCTGCATGTATATATTTATTTAAGTTTGTGTTTGATAAAATCAAAATCATGAACAGTCACAGGTTAAATATATATTAATAGTAACTCACAGTTAACAGTTGTGTACATTTTTTTTTACTTTCATGGCAAATTTGTAATGCCTAAAATATTTATTTCAGTAGTTTTTCATAGGGTTATATTCATGCTGCATGTATATATTTATTTAAGTTTGTGTTTGATATTTTCCGGAATTTGCTAGTTTATACATCGCAATTTTGGATTATTTTTAAAGTCTTGATTTCCGGTGTAGAAATCGTGCAACATGGATCGTGTTTACTTGTAAGTTTCGATCAATTTTCTACCTTATCACTCAACACAGGGCGGATCTATGTGCATAATTTCAATTTTAATCTAGTGTATAGTATAAAAATATGGTATGGATAAATATTTGTTGTAATTACATTGCAGACATATTCCGTTAATAGATATAACAAACATGGTAACTACAACAAACTGGAAAAAAAAAAACGAACAGGAAAGGAATTGAGTATATAGGTTTCCTCCCAACCGAAACTACTTTTCTATAATTTTAACAATTCTTTTTTTTAAGGTTAGCATAAAGTTAGGTTTTTGGTAAACTTTGCATATTTTTGAAATGACAGTAGGCGTGTTTGAGCTCAACTACTTCTTTGTATTGTATATAGATTTGAACTTTTTTATCAACTCTTTTTTTTCTTGCTGTTGGGGAACAGTAAATTTTGCTAAGCATCCACTTTGGAATGGATAACAATCCACATGAAAACTTCCTAAAAATACTTACATTAAATTGCCAAGGATTAGGGGATATGAATAAAAGGAGGGATGTCTTCAAAATTTTAAAAGGAAAAAAATTAAATGTGTATTTTCTTCAAGATACACACTTTGTTGAAAAAGATGAAAGCATAATTAAAATATTATGGGGATATAAGGCTTTTTTTAGTTCGTACAAATCAAATTCACGAGGAGTAGCTATCCTCATTAATAATAATTGTGATATGACATTAGTTAACGAATATAAAGATGACAATGGCAATTATCTCATTCTAGATGTAACCATAGACAATCTTCCTTTTTTGTTAGTAAATATATATGGACCAAATTTAGATACACCAACCTTTTATACAAATCTTTTAAACATGATTCAAGATTACTACTCATCACAATATGTGATTATAGGTGGTGATTTTAATTTGATTTTAGATAAGGATCTGGATTCTATGAATTATAAAAACCTAAATAACCCGAAATCAAGAATGGAAGTCTTGAAGATGATGGAGACACTAAATTTAAAAGATATTTTCCGTGAAAATAGTCCAAATTTAAAAAGATTTACCTGGAGAAGAAAAAATCCAATAAAACAAGCGCGACTTGATTATTTCCTAATATCAGAATCATTACTCAATTTGGCCCCTTACGTAAAATTTGAAAATAGTTATCGTTCAGATCACTGTCCAGTTGTCATGGGTGTTAAAACAGATGAATTTCTTAAAGGGAGAGGGTTTTGGAAATTGAATAATTCTTTACTTGCTGATAAAGAATATGTAAATCTCATAAAAGAAAAAATTAAAAATATTAAATTACAATATGCCTGCCCTGTCTATAATTTTGATAATATTGACTCTATTGAAACTGATACAATTCAATTTACTATAAGTGATCAATTGTTTTTAGATACATTACTGATGGAAATAAGAGGAAAATCAATTTCTTTTTCAACTTATAAGAAAAAGAAAATAGCTGAACAAGAATTGCGATTAGAAAAAGAAATCTTAAAATTGGAACAGAACTTGACCCAAGAATCTACTGAAGAACTAGAAAATAAACATGAAGAATTAGAGAACATTAGAAAAATCAAATTTAAGGGTCAATGTATTAGGTCAAAAGTAAAATGGATAGAAGAAGGAGAAAAACCTTCAAAATATTTTACCAGTCTAGAGTCAAGAAACTATCAGAGTAAAGTTATACCTAAAATTGAAAAGGAGGATGGAACAATTATTTTTAACCAATTTGATATTTTGAATGAAGTTAAAATGTTCTATGAATATCTTTATAAAAGTAGGGAGAATGTGGATTCTGGAAGTATTCATGACAAATTAAAAATATATGATGTCCCAAAATTAAATAAAAAAGAATCAGAAAGTCTTGAAGGCCCATTGACCAATTCTGAAGTCCTTAATTATTTGAAAAATATGAAAAATGAGAAAAGTCCTGGACCAGATGGTTTTACTTGCGAATTTTTCAAATTCTTTTGGCAGGATATAGGTGCCTTTATTACAAGAGCAATAAACAACTCATATGAATTATCACACTTTACTGAATCAAATAAGTTAGGTATAATAACTTGCCTACCAAAACCAGGAAAACAAAAACAATTCTTAAAAAACTGGCGCCCAATCAGTTTGTTGAATGTGATTTATAAAATAGCCTCAGGCTGTATTGCTGAACGATTGAAAACCGTATTGAATAAAATAATAAATAAGGACCAAACTGGCTTTTTAAAGGGAAGATTCATAGGTGAAAATATTAGACTGGTTTATGATTTAATGCATTACACAGAACAAAAGCAGATTCCAGGCTTATTAATGTTAATTGATTTTGAAAAAGCTTTTGACACTATATCATGGAAGTTTATATACCAAACATTAGACTTTTTTAATTTTGGGAAGTCAATTAAAAAATTGGATTCAAACTTTTTATAATGGAATTAAATCATGTGTAATACAGAATGGAATTTCTTCTGACTACCTGTTCCCTCAGAGGGGATGTAGACAGGGGGACCCAATTTCCCCATATCTTTTTTTAATTTGTGCTGAAGTTCTTGGGATTCTGATTCGAAATAATAAAGACATAAAAGGAATTATAATTGATGGGGAGGAATATAAACTTTCACAATATGCTGATGATACTTCAATTATATCTGATGGATCACCACAGTCTATGGATGGTATATTAAGAGAACTTGACTATTTTGCACTTATATCTGGTCTGAAAATTAATTTCACTAAAACTAAAATGGTTTGGATTGGCAGTAAAAAATTTTCCAAAGAAGTTTTTCATCACTCGAGATGGAAGTTAGATTGGAATAATTCTACTTTTGATCTTCTTGGTGTAAAATTTTCTATTAATTTAGATGAAATGGTTGATCTGAATTACCCCTCAAAATTAAATGAAATAAAGCAGTTGATAAAACAATGGCAGTTAAGAAAACTTACTCCAGTTGGTAGATTAGCAGTGATTAAATCCCTGATTATACCAAAAATGAACCATTTGATATTGACTATTCCGAACCCTTATAAGGAACTCCTAGACGAATTTGAGAAAGACCTGTACTACTTTTTATGGGGAAGTAAAATTCATAAGGTTAAGAAAAATGTTATGATTCAAGATTATAGAAATGGGGGGTTGAAAATGATTGAATATGTAGATTTTCTATGTGCATTAAAATCAACATGGATCCGAAGACTAATTAACTCAGATACAAAATGGCTAAAACTTCTTGAATCAGAATTAGGAATAAAAGTTGAATCTCTATGGGTAAGAGGTTTAGACTTTACTGTTAATATGTGTAATAAAATAAGTAACAAGTTTTGGAAAGAGGTTTTACTTAATTGGGTAAAGATCATTGACTCTGGTCAAAATAATATGCAAATTCTTCATGAACATATATGGTTTAATTCAAGAATTAAAATGAACAACTCATCCATATTTTTGAAAAGTTATTTCGATGCAGGCTTTGTTTTTGTAAGAGATCTGTTTGACTCTGAAGGAAAATTTGTAAGCCTTGAGTACCTCACAAATCTTAACGTAAAAACAAATTTTGTAGAATATGCAGGTTTAAAAGTAGCTGTTTTAAAAACATTGAAAAGTATTGATATTGAAAAAAGAGAAACTGGACCTTTTATCCCTAATTCACTTTATATTTTTTATAAAAGTACAAAAGGCTGTAAAGACATGTATAGTTTACTCATTAAGAAGAAAAAGGAAGCAATTAAGGCACTAGAAAAATGGGAAAATAATGGAATATTTTTTGGCGATATAGACTGGAATAAAATATTTGAACTTCCTTTTAAAGTAACAAAAGAAGCAAAATTTCAGTGGATGCAATTTCAAATTCTGCATAGGATTATTGCAACAAATAAATACCTTTACAATCTCAAACTAATTGATTCACCTGTATGTTCCTTTTGTAAACAAGATGTCGAAACGATTGAACACTTATTTTTTGAGTGTTTCTGCGTTAAAAAAATATGGTGTCACATTGAGGAATGGTTTATAAATAAGTTTCATTTTACCATTAATTTTGATAGAAAGGATATACTTTTTGGCAAATTCAACAACAAAAACATGTTTAGACTACACAATATATTAATACTTACTGTTAAGCAATTTATTTTTGCTAGTAGGTTTAAAAATGTGCCTAAACTAAGCATCTCAATGCTAGAAAAAAATATTGTGGATAGAATATTAGTCGAAAAAGTTATACTTTTAAGAAACTGTAAATTTTCAGAATATGAAAAATATTGGAAAATTATTTGTGATATGATATAATGTATTTATTTTTCTCAAGTTTATATACAAATGTACAAGTATGTTAAAATACTTAATACTGTTCCCCCCCACCTCACTTTTTTGCACCCTTTCACCCCCTTTTTCCTTTCTTTAATTTTATCTCTGTATATAAAGCTTTCACAGTGAATATTCATTAAAATGTACAATATGTCATATACAATTTTAATGTGATTTTGAAATGCAACATATATTTACTACAAAGAAATTATATTTAATATGAAGTATCAGGCAGTAGAAATGAAAGTATGTATTGAATGTTAACTAATATATTGTATAGTCTGTATATGTGAAAGCACAAATAAAATCTATGAATTAAAAAAAAAAAAAAAAAAAAAAAAAAAAAAATACTGTAGATCTAAAAGATATCAGCTCTACAATAAAACATAGGTAATCAAAGATTACATAACTCAACTCAATGAATGTTTGTGTAAGGCAAAGTCCCACACTAAACAAATAACCTAGTAGTGTGCATCCCTAGATGCAACATTTATGCAATTTTGTTCTGATAGGGCTTTACAGTTACTTGGGAATGGACTAATCTAAGAACTTTTAACTTGCCAATTATCCAGAAATCCAGCATCTGAAGCAAGTTTGAGAATGTTCATCCCTTGATGCATCATCCTTGCAAGTTCGGTTCAGAAAGGCCTTATAGATTCTTGGTAATGGACCTGAACCAAAAACTTTAACCTGGTCACTCATCTGGAATATGTAGATCAAATCAAGCATCTGAAGCAAGTCCAGTAGTGTGCATCCTTAGATGTATCATCCATGCAAGTCGGGTCAAGGTACAGCAAATAGTTACTTTAGAATGATCCTGCTCCAAAAACTTTAACCTGGTCACCCATCTGGAAAATGTAGGTCAGATCCAGTATCCGAAGCTAGCCTGGTAGTGTGCATCCTTAGATGTATCATCCATGCAAGTCTGGTCAACATGGGTCTATAGTTACTTTAGAATGAACCTGTTCTATAAACTTTAACCTGGTCACTCATCTGGAAAATGTAGGTCAGATCCAGCATCTAAAGAAGGGTGGTAGTTAGCATCCTAAGATGTATCATCCATGCAAGTTTGGTCACGATAGGGCTTATAGTTACTTGGAAATGAGACCTGCCCCAAAAACTTTAACCTGCTCCAAAATCTTCAACCTGCTTTAAAAACATTAACCTGGTCATCTTTTAGCTGAAATTGCAGCATCTGAAACCTTGACTGGTACAAAGAAACACACTATAAACATCTTCCATGCAACTCTGATTTATGTAAGGCATAGAAGTGCTGAAAAAGAAAACTGCTGCAAAAACTATAACCTGGGACGCCGGAGGTATCACATAAGCTCCCCCAACTTCTTTGAGGTGAGCTAAAAATCTAAAGACACTTACAGTAAATCAGTAACAGATTCAATATTAAAAAGGAATTTGTGTGAAAAGGGAGGGGGGAGGGAGGGGAGTGGGGGGGCATTGATGCTGTGTATTTAATTTAAATGTATGAATTTTGTAATTAATAAATAATTTGTAAATTTATAGACTATATAATAATTGTTGTTATGTTTTATTATGCACTGATTCTATTCAACTGTGTAAATGGGGAATATGTGGAAATGTAAATGATGTATAATTGTATGAGTAAAATGTGACATTTTCTTATATGAGGGAGTCCATACATGTAAAAATGTTTTAATTTTATCTTATTAAAATTATTTTAATTAATTATCTTGTTTTTCTTACCTATCTGATGAACACAACAAAGGTTACAGAGGTGATTGGTAGAAATACGGGTGTCAAAACTCTCTGTTGATGACCAGACAGCATACTGCATTGTATATCCGCCATTACTGATCTTAAACATGGGAGACAACTCCTGAAATCAGAGAAATTGTAGTCAAAATGAGAGTTACCTGTTACTCTTTAGGTCCGACACAATGAAATAATTTCACTACATGTTACTATATAGCTTCAATTAAATTAATTAATTAACTAAGACTCTAAGCAGATAATCAATGAAAGAGAAAATAAAGATTAATGCTTAAACAAACAAGAGGCCCAAGGGCCTTAACGGTCACCTGAGTACAATACAACAATTTAGAGGATCCATATACTGATAAATGAAGCTCTGTTGCCCAAAAGCAAGAAAATAGTATGATTTGCATCAACAAAATAATTGGTCTAGTATCTATCTGTCCCCCATTTATCACTATTACCATGCAGAATATCAACAAACTGTCCATTTTTTAACCCCATATTTTTACTTCTCACATTGGCCTCTCTTGGCCTTTGAAGAACAATTTAAAAGGATAAGTTATTTTTGTCTCAATTTTATTCATCTATTATTTTCAAGTCTACCTGGGGCCATGAATTTCACAATTTTGGAAGAGGCATTCTTCCTTATAACCATGCACTTCCTTTGTTTGAAAAATACCCAGGAGTAGAGAAGAAAATTTTGAAAAAATTTATGCATTTTCCCTATATAATCAATAGAGCCCCACCCTTACACTAGAACCCCTGATCCAGGGGCCATGAAATTCACAATTCTGGAAAAGGCAACCATGCTTGTCATAACTATGCACCAAGTTAGTTTATTTAAAATCCAAGAGCAGAGAAGATTTTCAAAGAACTAATGCAATTTTACTATATAATCAATAGAGCCCCGCCCTAACACCAGAACCCCTAACCCTGGGGCCATGAAATTCATAATTTCTAAAAAGGCAGCCATGTTCACCATAACTATGTTCTTAAATACTTTATTTAATACTCAGGAGCAGAGAAGAAGATTTTCAAAGAATTAATGCATTTTCACTATATAATCAATATAGCCCCGCCCTAACACCAGAACCCCTAACCCTGGGGCCATGAAATTCACAATTTTGGAAGAGGCACTCTTGCTCATCATAACTATGTACTTAGTTACTTTATTTAATACCCAGGAGCAGAGAAAAAGATTTTCAAAGAATTAATGCATTTTCACTATATAATCAATAGAGCCCCACCCTAACACCAGAACCCCTGACCCTGGGGCCATGAAATTCACAATTTTGGAAGAGGCACTCTTGCTCATCATAACTATGTACTTATTTACTTTATTTAATACCCAGGAGCAGAGAAGAAGATTTTCAAAGAATTAATGCATTTTCACTAGATGATCTATAAAGCCCCACCCTAGCACCAGAACCCCTGACCCTGGGGCCATGAATTTCACAATTTTGGTAGAGGGCTCAATGCTTATTACAATCACGCTAACAGTTTGACTGCTTGATGTCCAGGAATAAAGAAGAAGATTTTTAAAGATTGCATTAATTTTGGTGGTTTTAGCCCCACCCCTTAGGCCCCAAGGGGGCAGGGACCATGAAATTCAAAATTTTTGTTCCCCTTCACCCATAGAATGCTATATGCCAAATTTGGTTGAAATTGGTTGAGCGGTTTCAGAGAAGAAGCTAAAAATGTTCAAATGTTAACACACATTGCAAATTGAGACCAGAAAAAATACACCCTGACAGTAATTAACAGTAAACATATCTACCCTGAAATACACGTAGGCTTCACATGTTAACAAACATACTACACACCATCCAGGATGTTGCACCATGCACACCTAAAAAAAAGTTCCCTTTAATTAAGTGGGACAATTCTGCTAAAGATATGATATTCTTAGCTCATGAGTCCAAAATTACTACTGTAGGCCTAAAATAAGATGCCAAAAATGAAAAAATAAAAATAAATTGTCTCTCGTTATATATACAACTATAACTGACTAAGTTCATTTTGATTGGCTGTTTCCTTTGAACATACTCACGTCTTGTAATGAAATCTGTATTCATTTCTGAAAATATAAGTGCATAACATCAAAATCACTTTTCTTAAAGTTCTCCTCAGAAGAATATTATCTATGAGTGAAGGCAATGTCTATCATAAATTGAATGTTCTAGTAGTGTGCACATCTACAGGCCTTACCATACAAGTTTGGTCTAGTTAGGAATTATAGTTTCAAGGGGATGTCCAAAATAATCATCCTGAAAATAAATGTCTTATCATCCACTTAAGTCAGAAGCATCATCCATGCAACTTTTTGTACAGGTAGAGCTTATAGTTACTTGAAACTTTGGTACTTTGTAAAAGTTTTATGGGCAAGTTCATTCCCAAGTAACTATAAGCTCTACGCTTAAAGTTACTTGGGAATGAACTTGCCCATAAAACTTTTACTGGGATGTCAACACACTTATAAAGCAAAAGCTCATCTCGACTTTGTTGAGGTGAGCAAAAAATATTCAGTTTACTGCCTTTTGAACATTTGTTGTCACATTGTAGAATTGGTAGTGTTTTCTTTAAATATGATTAATTATTATGCTGAGGAGTGTCCAAGAAATGTAAAACAATGTATTCTCTGGGGGAAAAAGTGATTCTATCACACCATCTAAGTTTGTTGGTATGCCAGTCTACCCTACCAAATGAACCACTTGTAGAAATCTTTATGGATGAGGAATTAGTGTCTTATAGTCATCCTGCCTCCCAATGATGGCAACATCAGAATCTGTCTCCATTCACTGTAATTATGACAAACTATTGCATAATTTTAAGTTGAAAGGAAAGCAAATGATATTTATATGAAATAACAAGATGTGTTTGTGAAACATTGTTGTCCCCTATGGCAGTTCAAGACAAAGGTTTGGATTTTTCAAATTTAGGTTGAGGTCTACAAGGTTAAAGTGAAGAGTTCAAAAAGTGTTTGTATTCAAAGAAAGGTCTTGTCACAACAAATACCATCTTCTCTAGTCAAAGGTTTCTGATCTGCTACTCTCCTTACAAACCCTTGGCATATGGTGCTGTCAAAAGATGGGAAGTACAGTCTAAGCAAAAAGTCTGAATCAGATCTGTTCATCAATTTTTAAAATCTCTTATACAGATAAAATGCAGGAATGTTTTTGAACTCAGTCAAATTAGTTTATCAGCTAAAAGACATGTTCAGGACATACATGTATATCAAAACATACAAACAAAGTGATTACAGTCTTTTGTCCCTTTTAAGTCTATTTGCTTTAAGGGGAGGGGATGGGTGGGTACTGAATAGCATCTTTTGATTTTATCAAATGACAACTATGTTAACCTACCTTTTCTCATCTTTGCTCCAGCCTTTTCTTTCTACTTGTTTTACCTGGAAAAATGCACAAAATTTTCATTTTAGGTGTTGTACTACATTTTAACATCTTAGAATTTTATGAAATGGGATCTTTTTTCACAGTTTTCATCAAAAGAGCAGATCTGAAAAAAAAATAATGACCTTCTTAAGAGATATATGAACATGTATATGCCTATTATGAAAGCATTTCCATATTCTAAGAAAATAAACCACCAAATACATGTACTTGTTTTTAACAAAAAAAATACTGTATAAGTGGAAATCTTAGTGAGATGCCAATTTAGAAATTTACCCCCAAATTTTTAGCAAGAAGTAATTTAAGTGATTTTGTAATATCAAGAGAGAAAGCTATAACAGCCAAAATAGAATAAATTGTTAGCAATACATGTATTCAATTTTAGCAATCTCAGTTCCCTCACTAAAAATGCCAAAATTGAATCCTCCCTAAAAATTCTGCTTCTATGGTAATTTGAATTCACAGAAATTATACTCATTTACAGAATTGCAAATGATTTCTTGCAATGACAAAGAATTTAAAATAAGTATAGACGATTATAAAATACAATAAAAATCTTTGAGTATATCTGGTGCAGTTTTTTGGGGTTATCAAACACATTTTTAAAATTGTTCTTTCATTTGCAAAAATTCCAGTGAAGTAAAATATGAAACTAGGAACATTACTTCATCAACCAAACAATAATAAAAACAAAGGGGGAGTTTCGATAAGGCGGTTTTTCGGCCCCTCACGAAATTTTCTGAAATTTTTTATATTTTGTAGAAAAACTCCTTATCGTCCAAAAAATATGAAAATAATTTATGTGACGCATTTTCCGGTCACGTGATAATTGAAAATTTAAGTATACCCCCTTTCGTATATTTTTGGAGTAGACATTTTTATAGGGGGAAAGTGGATTTTTTAAATCGTCAAAATAATAAATGAAATAGGGTAAATATGAATAAAGACATAAATTAACCAATTTCAACAATTTTTTTTACGGAAAATGGTATTTACCTTACGCGAATGTTTTTTTTTTAAGGTGCGATATTTTTCTGGTGTGTTAAATGTTACTTTTCTTTAAAAGAGGATGAATTGATCTTATAAAACGTAAACATATATAGAAAGTTTTAACATCATAATTAATCGACAGTTTATACAGTGCAGGAAACTAATTTTGTTACAGCATCGATGCTGATTTGAATGCTTCCTTTGCTTGCTGATTTGAATGCTTCCTTTGCTTTCTGATTTGATGCTAGTAATCCTTATCCTGATGCTGTTTTATAATTAGGTCAATGCTACCGGAAGTAGCATCATGCTACCGGAAGTAGATAATGAATTTCAGCATTGCCGTTTAAAGCAATAAAAGTGCCTTTTACAATTATTTGATCATAATATCTCACTATGTATCAATAATGTGAATACTTTAACCAACATTCTTTCTTTCTTTTTGATTTTTTACTGAATTAAAACTCATTGATTTTCTGATGCTAGTAGGATAATGCTGATTTTATGTAGGTCAATGCTGGTTTTATCCTTTGCTTGCTGATGCTGATCCTGGTAATGCTGTTTTTTAAATGCTGATGCTGATGCTAGCTCGATCCTGATGCTACTAATGCTTATGCTGATGCTGGTTTATGTAACAAAATTAGTTCCCTGCACTGTATGTAAACTTTACAATCAATGTTTAACATTTTCCCATACGAAAAATGCAAATGAAAAGATATATGGACATGAGATAGGTAAACGTAAAAACGTCATATACAGGGATATGCAATACATTTTCATCAATGAGATTATACAACTACATATTTTATAAAAATATACCTTAATATCATAAAATTTAAAATAAAGAGGCTGGGGGGTTGTGGCCATTTTTAGACTATATTGATCTCCTTTAGAAGAAGAGCTCCATATGAAGATATAGAAAATGATCAAATTTTAAAACTAAAATTTTTGAAATTTTTCTTTGCCAAATGATAGTTGACAGCTTAAGATATCATATCTAAAAATTAAAGTTAAATCTGGTGGTTAATTTGTGGTTAATTTGTTGACCCCCCAGCCTCCTTAAATAAAATGTTTTGAATTAAAAAGATTAAAAAATAAATGCAACTTTATATACATACATGAATAAGAAGTTTATTTAAAAGAATCATATTGCTATGTAAGCCGGTACGTTGTAGGTGCAAGGTAAGAAAAATATTTTATCTGGCAGCCACCACATAATTATTTGGCGGCCACTAGAAAAATATATCTGCCAAATAGCTTTCCTGCGGCCAAAACATAAATAACTGGCAGCGACCAGAAACTTATTTGGCGGCCAACACATAAATAACTAGAAGCAGGCAAATAAGTTTCTTGCGGTGTAGACATGTAATCTTGCTAATAAGGCATGAAACTCCCAGATTTGACTACAAACAGAAGTTGTAGATGTCGTTAAAGGCAGAGATTTTAAGCACCGCTTTTAAAAATACCTGGTCTGTGTACCTCTGTCAATCAAGTGCATTAAGGTACATCATTGGGTGCTACAACTTGATTGGCAAACCACTAAATTTTTTCTGGCAGCCGCCAGATATTTCAATGGCAGGCCAGATAATATTTTTTTTTTTTACCTAGCACCTACCGGCTTCAGTATATTGCAATGTATTTGATAATATGAATAATATTAATTACAGTCAAAAATATTTTATCATGATACGTAATATGTGAATAGCCAAATGATGGAAAAATCTATAAAACATTGAGTGTTTCCTTTTCATTATGAAACTTAGAAGTATTTGCCTGCATTATGTTTTCAGCATAACTGAGAGAATCCCAGCCAGGACTAATTTCCTATCGCTTCCCCGCTCTCCATAGATACTTAAGTTGCTTCACCAACTCTAGTCACTCCTCATTTAGAGAGTTTTAGAATTCATTATAAATGATTTGCTAGACCAAAGCGCAGTTCGAAATACACGTGTAAATGCCAAACATATGTGTTTAATCCTTAATCAGGCAGACATATGCGCCTAGACATCCAGACTTAAAACAATCCACATTCTCTATATGTCAATCACACGGAAATACATGGGCACTTCTCTAGCATGTTGGAGCGTGAATTTCTATACAAGAAAGTCAAAAATATTTGTATTTTTGACTTTCTTGTAACTATGCATGATAAATAACGTTAAGGAATGGACTTGCTTTAAAACTTTTTTGTTCAGTCAGTCAGAAAATGTAAGAAAGTTCCAGCATCTGAACCATGTCTGGTAGTGTGCAATCCTAGATGCATCATCAGTGCAAGTTTGGTTATGATAGGGCTTATAGTCACATAAGAATGAGACACACTTCAAAATCTTTAACCTGCTCTATCATTAAGAAAATGTAGGTCATATCCAGCATCTAAAGCAATCTAATAGTGTGCATCTGTAGATGCATCATGAAGCAAGTCTGATCAACAAGTGCTTACAGCTGCTCTGCTCCAAAAACTTAAACCTGCTTTTAAAACATTTACCTGGACATTCTTTGGCTAAAATCCAGCATTTGAAACCTTTCTGGTGACAAGGAAACATGCTAGATCAGGTGACTGTGATTAATATAGGGCATAGATATACTTGAAAAAAAATCTGCTTCAAAAACTTTTACCTGGAACACCGATGCTGACGGTATTACAAACTTCGAGGAGGTCAGCTAAAAATGTGATGTTAGCGTTAACGTTATATGTTGGCGACAAAAATAGTATCAAAATGAAGACAGGATACGATAATGTTTTCTACTGTTAATACATGTATAATCGAGAATCTTCTTTAATTCAACAAAATATGCTACTTTTGGCTTAGTATTTTAACACAGAGTCAGATCAAGAAACCAGGAGTTTCTACTTTTAGATATGCATGTTATGCAATTTTCAATTTTTGGATATGAAGTGCACAGGCGACACTCATCATATTTCAAGAAATTAGTGTGCAGAGTATATCTAATTACTGAACAAATTTAGGTGAGTGTCCCTCATGCACTTCATATTCTAAACATCGATTTATAAATGCCACCCTCTTATATTTTCCCATGAGCCTAATGTTAACGAATCTGAGTGTACATCTAAGTATGTATCAGCTACGGTGTTAATTCTTCTCATATTAACTTTTAAAATATAAATAACAAAAGTTAACATATTTATCTTGAATTCTAAACTAGTTTTGAAAAAATAAATTGAAATTTATTTTTAAGAAAAAGTGGGCCGCTGAGCGGCCTTATCGAAACTCCCCCTTTAACATCAAAATTTCAAACTCAGAATGTCTGGATCTAAACTGACTTGTTTTGTTCCAGCTTGACTGGGTTAAGTTTTAACTAGAGTGGGTTTGATTCTAAACTGACTTATTCATGTTCCTGTCTAACTGGATTAGATTTCTACCTGACTGGGTTAGGCTCTAAACTGACAGTTTTATGATTCTGCCTGAGTGGGTTAGGTTCTGAACTGACTTGTTCATGTTTCTGCCTGACTTGGTTACATTTTTTCCTGACTGGGATAGGTTCTAAATCGACTGTTTTATGTTTATATCTGACTGGGTAGGTTCTAAACTGACTGTTTCATGATTCTGCCCGACTGGGTTAGGTTCTAAACTGACTGTTTTATGTTTCTGCCTGACTGGGTTAGGTTCTAAACTGACAGTTTCGTGATTCTGCCTGACTGGGTTAGGTTCTTAACCGACTTGTTTATGTTCCTGCCTGACTGGGTTAATTTCTTAACTGACTTGTTCATATTACTGCCTGACTGGGTTATGTTTCTACCTGACTGGGTTAAGTTCTGAACCGACTGTTTTATGCTTCTGAATGGGTTATGTTTCTACCTGACAGGGTTGGGTTTTAAGCTGACTGTTTTCTGATTCTGTCTGACTGGGTCAGGTTCTAAACTGACTTGTTCATGTTCTTGCCTGACTGGGTTAGGTTTCCACCTGGCTGGGTTAAGTTTCTGCCTGACTGGGTTAGGTTCTAAACTGACTGTTTTATGATTCTGCCTGAGTGGGTTAGGTTCTAAACTGACTGTTTTATGTTCCTGCCTGAATGGGTTAGGTTCTAAACTGACAGTTTCGCGATTCTGCCTGACTGGGTTAGGTTCTTAACTGACTTGTTTATGTTCCTGCCTGAATGGGTTAATTTCTTAACTGACTTGTTCATATTACTGCCTGACTGGGTTATGTTTCTACCTGACTGGGTTAAGTTCTGAACCAACTGTTTTATGTTTCTGACTGGGTTATGTTTCTACCTGACAGGGTTGGGTTTTAAGCTGACTGTTTTCTGACTGGGTCAGGTTCTAAACTGACTTGTTCATGTTCTTGCCCGACTGGGTTAGGGTTCCACCTGGCTGGGTTAAGTTTCTTCCTGACTGGGTTAGGTTCTAAACTGATAGTTTTATGATTCTGCCTGAGTGGGTTAAGTTTCTACCTGACTTGTTTGGGTTCTAAACTGGCTATTTTATGATTCTGCCTGACTGGGTTAGGTTTTAAACTGACTTGTTCATGTTCCTGCCTGACAGGGTTAGGTTTATACCTGACTGGGTTAGGTTTTGAACTAACTTGTTCATGTTCCTGTCTGACTGGGTTAGGTTTCTACCTGACTGGGTAAGGTTTTAAGCTTACTGTTTTACAACTCTATGTGACTGGGTAGGTTCTTAACTGACTGTTTTATGATTCAGCTTGACTGGCTTGGTTTCTTAACTGAATTGTTCATGTTCCTGCCTGACCGGCTTAAGTTCTAAACTGATTTGTTCATATTTCTGCCTGACTGGGTTATGTTTCTGGGTTAGGTTCTGAACTGAATATTTTATATTCCTGCCTGACTGGGTTAGGTTTCACAATTCTACCTGACTTTGTTAGGTTCTTAACTGACTTATGTTCCTGCCTATCTGGGTTAGGTTCTAAACTGACTGTTTTATGATTCGGTCTGACTGGCTTAGGTTCTTAACTGACTTGTTCATATTCCTGCCCGACTGGGTTAAGTTCTAAACTGACTTGTTCATATTACTGCCCGACTGGGTTATCTTTCTACCTGACTGGTTAAGTTCTGAACTGACTGTTTTATGTTTCTGACTGGGTTATGTTTCTGCCTGACTGGGTTGGGTTCTAAACTGACTTGTTCATCTTCCTGCCTGACTGGGTTAGGTTTCTACCTGACAGGGTTAGGTTCTACACTGACTGTTTTATGATTCTGCCTGACTGGATAAGGTTTTAAACTGACGGTTTTATGATCCTGCCGCACTGAGTAAGGTTCTGAACTGACTGTTTCATGACTCTGCCTGACTGGGTTAGGTTCTAAACTGACTGTTTCATGATTCTCCCTGACTGCATTAGGTTCTTATCTGACTTTTTCATGTTCCTGCCTGACTGGGTTAGGTTTTTTCCTGACTGGGATAGGTTATAAACTGACTGTTTTATGTTTTTACCTGACTGGGTTACGTTCTAAAATGACTGTTTCATGATTCTGCCTGACTGGGTTAGGTTCTGAACCGACTTGTTCATGTTCCTGCCTGACTGGGTTAGGTTTCTACTTGAATGGGTTAGGTTTTAAAGTGACTGCTTCATGATTTTGCCTGACTGGGTTGGGTTCTAAACTGACTTGTTCATGTTCCTGCTTGACTTGGTTATGTTTCTACCTGACAGGGTTAGGTTCTAAACTAACTGTTTTATTACTCTGCCTGACTGGGTTAGGTTCTAAACTGACTGTTTTATGATCTTGCCGCACTGAATAAGGTTCTGAACCGACTGTTTCATGACTCTGCCTAACTGGGTTAGTTTTAAACTGACTTGTTCATGTTCTTGCCCGAGTGGGATAGGCTTCCACCTGACTGGGTTAGGTTTCTGCCTGAATAGGTTAGGTTCTAAACTGACAGTTTTATGTTCCTGTTTGACTGGGTTAGGTTTTAAGCTTACTGTTTTACAATTCTACCTCACTGGGTTAGGTTCTTACCTAACTACTACCTAGTCCTTGTTGCACCCGGAGGCACATAGGGCAAGGATTAGGGATTAGGGGTTAGGTTCTTAACTGACTTATGTTCCTGCCTGACTAGGTTAGGTTCTAAACTGACTGTTTTATGATTCAGCCTGACTGGGTTAGGTTTTTAACCGACTTGTTCATGTTCCTGCCTGACTGGGTTAAGTTCTAAACTGACTTGTTCATATTACTGCCTGACTGGGTTATGTTTCTACCTGACTGGGTTAAGATCTGAACTGACTGTTTTATGTTTCTGACTGGATTATGTTTATACCTGACTGAGTTGGGTTTTAAGCTGACTTTTTCTGATTCTGCCTGACTGGATTAGGTTCTAAACTGACTTGTTCATGTTTCTGTCTGACCTGGTTAAGTTTCTGCCTGACTGGGTTAGGTTCTAAACTGCCAGATTTATGTTTCTACCTGACTGGTTTATTTTTCTACCTGACTGGGTTAGGTTCTTAACTGAATGTTATACAATTCTGCCTGACTGGGTTAGGTTCTAAATTGACTTGTTCATGTTTCTGTCTGACTGGGATAGGTTTCTTCCTGACTGGGTTGGGTTCAAAACTGATAGTTTTATGATTCTGCCTGACAGGGTAATATTTCTGCCTGACTGGGTTTGGTTCTAAACTGACAGTTTCATGATTCAGCTTGACTGGGTTAGGTTCTTAACTGACTTGTTCATGTCCCTGCCTGACTGGGTTAAGTTCTAAACTGTCTTGTACATATTACTGCCTGACTGGGTTATGTTTCTACCTAACTGGGTTAAGTTTTGAACTGACTGTTTCAGTTTCTGACAGGATTATGTTTCTACCTGACTGGGTTGGGTTTTAAACTGACTGTTTTCTGATTCTGTCTGACTGGATTAGGTTCTAAACAGACTTGTTCATGTTTCTGTCTGACTGGGTTATGTTTAATCCTGACTGGGTTAGGTTCTAAACTGCCAGTTTTATGTTTCTACCTGACTGGCTTAGGTTTCTACCTGACTGGGTAAGGTTTCTACCTGACTGGGTAAGGTTTCTACCTGACTGGGTAAGGTTTCTACCTGACTGGGTTAGGTTCTTAACTGAATGTTACGCAATTCTGCCTAGGTTCTAAATTGACTTGTTCATGTTTCTGAACTGACTGTTTTATGATTATACCTAACTGGGTTAGGATGTGAACTGACTGTTTTCTGTCCCTGATTGACTGGGTTACATTCCTGACTGGGATAGGTTCTAAAATGAATGTTTTATGATACGCTCTGCCTGCGTTAGGTTCTAAACTGACTAATTCATGTTTCTTACTGACTAGGTAATGTATCTTCCTGACTGGGTTAGGTTTTAAACTGAGTGTTTGATGTTTCTACCTGACTGGGTTAGGTTCTAATATGACTGTTTTATGTTCATGCCTGACTAGTTAAGTTTCTATCCGACTGGGTTAGGTTCTTAACTAAAAGTTTTATGATTCTGCCTGACTGGGTAATGTTCTAAACTGACTTATTAAATTTTTAGCCTGAGTGGGTTTTGTTTCTGCATTACTGATTTGGATCTGAACTGACTATTTCACGTTCCTGCCTAAGTGGGTAAGGTTTCTGCCTGACTGGGTTAGGTTCTAAACTGACTGAAGGAACTCACTTTAAGTCTGGGTAAGCTAGGTTCTAAACTGACTTTATCATGTCCTTCCCTGACTGGAATATATGTTGTTCTGAACAAGATTCCTAAATGACCACACTCAAGTTTTTGCTTATTCTTAATTATTTCCACTTGAAAGGGGGCATGATCCTTCATTTAAATCTTTACACAAGGATACTCTGTGCCAAATTTGGTTAAAATTAGTTTCAGAGAAGAAGAGGAAATTGTGAAAAGTTAACCAAAAAATCAATGATGTAAATGACTACATGCTACAATCTAATTGAAATTAAATCCTTTGATCAGCTCACATATGATCACTACACAAAGTGTGTAGGGATCATATGTGAGCAGATCAAAGGATCTAATTTTAATTAGATTGCACATGCAATGGACAAATTTGGATCAAAAAAGCTCACCTGTGCCACTGTGCAAAAGGAGGAAGGGGTATTGATGCTGTGTATGTAGTTTATATATGTTCTATTTTTATTACATATTTAAAATTATTTTCAACAATTACCTTGTTATTTTACCTGTCCAAAGAACATGACAAAAAACATAACAGGGTGATTGGTAGAAATATAGGCATACAGGCGTCAAAACTCCCTTTTGGTGAACAGTCTGTATCACTCATTGTTTATCCACCATTAGTGATCTTTAACAGAGGAGACTATGTAGGTTTCACATGTTGACAGTCTACACACCATTGAGTAAACTACATCATTTCCAACTAAAAGAAATCTTTTTTATTCACAATAAATGGATTGAAATATGCTGCTCAAAATAACTTCAAAATATCAATAACTTCCTCATTCAATTTAAAATAAAATCTTATTGAAAATACCAGATCATAAGTTTAGTTTAAGTACACTTCATACTTTCTTGGACGTTAACAAACCTAGATGAAAATGGCAGATAGGCAAGTTCAATTGCTGGTGATCAGATACAAGAAGCTCAGGCAGGTCCAATTGCTGGTGACCAGATACACTTAGTGGTTTGGATTGTGCTGACCGGGATGTCGGCATGGGTGGATTAGAGCAGCTTACAAGCTATGCAGGAGTCCAAGTTTGATTCCCTGTCAATCCTTTCCAGTTATAATATTAAATTAACATATGAAAAAGCATAGATATTAGCGAGCGCAGCGAGCAGCGCAAAGCGCCGCTCATCACTGGGAGCTCTAAAAGCAATGCCTGGGCGAAGAGAAAATTCTGACTTTGCAAATTGATCCAAATGAATTTTTTTCCACAGTTACCTGTGGTCCCATAATGCTTTGCGAATTGCTTCTCCCCACAAACAATGTTCTCGCGGTAGCAAGAAGTTCCAAAAAAAATATACACCCACGTTGATTTGATGGATATATAGCAGACAAATAGTAGATTAATACTTCTTTATTAAAATAAGCCCTGTTCAGACTTTGTTTTGGTAATGCTACTTACAAGCGACGTTATATGACGTCAGAGTCTAGACGTACTAAAAGTCTCGTGCAGTTTGATAACTTTGAAGAGCCCGATCTAAATTAAAACTGAATATAGGTATCTGCGCTCACCCTTACGGTTGCACCGTCAACATACTAAAAATATACAAGACATTGTACGTTCGAAAATGACAAAATAATTCCCCTACTCTCGCACTGAAAGTCTTCAAACTTCTATACATTTATAATATATATATACACACTTTTGAATAAATTCACTAAATTCTAAAGAAAATAAGGAGCTGTGTAAGAGTGTGGGGTGCTAACTTTATTGAAAAATGAGAGGGGTAGATGTTGATTATACTAGGCCTACGTTTTCTAGTGGGGTTTCTAACATAAACCATAAAAATACACCTCACCCTCCGGCCGCCAGTCCGCTTCTTTTTTCTTATACAATGCACATAACACAGCTCATCGATGTAGCATCAATGTTTCGGTGTATTTTTCTTTGTGACCTCTTCGTTTCTACTTCCGTTTCATTTTCAGTTCTTGCTAATCATGCCAAACGTTATTTCTCCCGCCGCTAAACTAACTTCGGGATCGATGTACTCAGCTACATAATATAAAACTGAAACCATACCGGAATTAATTTTCCCGAACTGCTTGACTGGTTAAGTAATAGACTCTACCCAATCTGTATAAAACCAGGAGTTCCGAGATGAAAAGCGAGGGAAACAGAATGCTGCCGGTGAATAGTTTAATGACTATTTCACCATGGGCAAATAGCACAAAAACTATTCCACGGTAGGGGCTGTTTGGAAAAAATAGCATGTTTATTCGTAATATTTTTATATAGAAAAAATTCACAGAGGTATAATAAATTAATATTGTAAACATAGATACTATATGCTTGTGCCCCCTCAATAAAAACGTCTGACTGACCTTTTATTTTTGCTTGTCAAGGAATTTTTGGTAGTTGATAGTTGATGACCCGGCTTTTTTTTTTTTTGGCTTGTCATGAAATTTTTGGTAGATGCTGGCTCCCCCCCCCCCCCCCATTTTTTGATGTTGTAAGGTCAAGCACTAGCAAATATTGTTTTTTTTATTTGCTTGTCAGATTTTTTTTTTGGAAGTCCCCCCCTCTACCCCACTTTTGAAACCGTTGACTGTTGCTACGGGCCTGATCCCAGTTTCACCTTAAGTAAATAAATTCATCAACAACGGATATTTTTTTTGTAATATCACAAGTCATGTTAACTTTCAAAAGGGATCCATGTAAAGTTTCAAGTTTTTATTTAAGACAAAGACCCCAACTGGGGTATATGAATGCAAATGATATGTACAACAAAATAACATAGAAGCATGAAAACTCATCAAAGTATAGAAGGCCTCTGCTAGTATTAAATAAATCATTACAACATATTGTAAACAGTTGTTTTGTTATTCTTAATTTATTACTGACAAAAAAAAAAGACTTTATGAATTTACTTGAGCGTATACACTTGTGTTACTTCCCTTTTTACTAGATCTTCATTTTCGGAGGTAGAAATCGCGGGAAGAAACAAATAATGAAATATCATAATATGACGAGAAAGAATGAAATTATCTTTGTATTCAGTGAAGGTTTGTTATTGAGAGAATAGAGCGATATAATATATTAGCTTCCTTTATTTATGTTTATTGTTTGGATTAAGTAAGTAAATGTGTTATTTCTTATTTACCTGTTTACAGTAATGCTACTAAAGAATCAAATACGAAATGTTTTGGAAGAGAAGGGTGATATTCACAGAGGACCGTCTGTAAATACGCTTATTTTTCCAGTCATTGTGTCAGAAGATAAGGTTAGTATTATTCAGACATGGTTACTTTTTTCAAGTCAGTATTTTTGTACCCAGGAGTCATTCCCACATGCAACAAAAAGTTTCAGCACAGAATCTATGAAAAAAAAGAAATTTTCTGTGGGGCTATTTTATTACCTGGATAAGGAGAGTGCATTTGATAGTCACATGATGTTTGGTACAAAAAGTTGGTTTGCAATTTGTATGTTTTGATCTGTTTCTGTTTCCTTTCACTTGTTTGTAAACACTGAAATAATTTGATTGCACCAGAATGTTTTGTGTTGGATTTGTGCAGTGCTGGGTATTTATAATAGTCAATTCTCATTATTTTGTATGGAATTTTAATTTTATTAAGGTATGTTTTTCTTGTATTCATTTATTTTGCACTTAAAATTAAATGGATGGATTTTTGTACCAACTTTTAAAGTCATTAGCCATGTATACTTGTACTATTCATGTAAAAATTAAAAAAAAGAATGTTTACAATTTCAGATAGGGTGCAAGGCAAGAGATTCCTGGTTAGAAATTGGTGATGATTTAATGTCTGATTTAAAGAGAATACAGGACCTCTCAAGGTAATTTCTTAATTTTTATAATTGACTGAAGTTTCAGTACATCAAAGTTCAGGAGTTTACTCTCCAGGTCTGTGCTCCCTTTACCTTGTGTTAACATGATATTGCTTTGGGTTCAAGCTTCATGTATAAATTTCATTATTACATTAGTGCTTCCATTAAGCTGAAAAATTTTCCTGTTTCTTAAGTATTTCACACTTGGTCCACTCAGATCTCATTGATTTTTTTTTTTTTTTTTTTTTGATAAGTGACCAGGAAATATTCAGTTTTAATTAACTAAAGATCTGAGTTCTCTTTACAAAAGAATATACAACTTTGATCAAATTCAACTTTTTCATTTTGATGAATTTATCAATTAGTTATCTTAATCATGTTAATGAAGATTTTGACCAAATATTAAGATTTATTGATCTTTTAGTCATTAGAACTTTTGTAAGATGGAGTTCTAGTTTTTAACAACAATGCTTTATTTTTTTTTTTTTATATTTTATCATTTTCTGAGGTTGCATGGTTTTGTGAGAGTTAATGGAAGATGCTGTAAAAATATTTGGATTTCCCAGCAGTTCATATTTTCTTTATTTGCATGAACTTAATACATATTTCATGCATGTCTAGAATGAGAATTTAGGATGAGATTACAGTAAACTTCTTGATTTTTTATTGCAGTGAAGAAAATGTTAGTATTGCTGATAAGTTACACGAGGCTGTAGATTTACTTCCCTTCACTGGTAACTGATTATGTTTCATTTCCTTGTAAATTTCAGGTGAAAGAGTAACATGTACCATTAATATAATAAACCAATTGTTGAAATTTGTGTTCACATATATATTTATACATACATAAAGTAGTCTAGATCTTGAATATGAGTTGATTTTGAAAACTAGCAAGACATCATTTGCTTTAGTCATAATTCAATAATACAGCAATCATGCTTTCATTACAGGTAATATAATTGATGTTTATATAGAGTCCAGCATTTTGGATTCTCTGAGGTAAGTTTTTGTTCACAACTCAGGAAATCATTTTATTTCAAATTACTTTATTTCTTAACAGAGACTCACTTGATCTTATAAAATGTATCTATTGTATAAAATACATGGTATAAAACATTATAGATCTGAACATTCCTATCAACTGTTTGGGGCACTGAGGAGACTCAAAGACTGGCACAATGCTGTCATAACTTTTGTTAGATCAGAAAGTTCTGTATGCTCTGAGGAGGTAGAAATTATTCAACGACTGCTAACAACTTCAGGTGTAGAGAAAGAAGATTTCCAGTCAGGGGAGACCACTGATGTTATCTGGCGAGGAAAGATGTCTGTCATTGATAAAACAGTAAGAGCTTTAATTCAAAGAAATGAATAAATTAAGCCTGAAAAACCTTTTAAAAGATTTTTTATATGCCTTTATTTTGTGTGGCAGTGTTATGATATATGCCCTTCCATTCATCTACCTCATAAATTTTTGTGTGCGCTGCAGCTGATCATATCTTCCATACTGTGGATATTGTTATTTTTTAGTACAGAGCTGACAGTCATTTTATCTTATAAGCTTTATACAGAACTGTGAATAAGAGTCTACTGTGCCACGATTAGTGATGTTGACATGATGCTTTTTGAATTTAGATTAACAGAGGATTCATTTTACCTGGTTTTTCAATCACCAGAAATAATACTACATCATCTCAAGCCTTCACAAATGGAGAAGATCAGGTTAGCTAGATTATCATTATCAACTTGCCATCTATGAAATTGATCAACCTGATATATTTCTGAAGATATAGTCAATAATACACATATAAATATATTTTCTCAAGGCTCATAATGTAAGAGACATATACACTGTAAAAAAAATCATTTCTAATATTGAGATAGTTGGTCATTGGCCATATTGCCAGATATTAAATCTCACCTACTGTACACAGAAATGTAGCTGGCAATCATTTGACACATTTTAATCAATGAAAGTGCAACATTTAATTCCAAGAGGGGAAAAAAAGTTAACTGTTATATACACTTTCACACTACCAAAAAAAATGCATCCACCCTCAGACATGATAGTATTTTTATAATTACTGTAGCAAAGACATGAATCAATGATATTTCATGTGTGTTGAAATTTGAAAGCTTGGAAATATTTATTTTTGAAATGTACATGTAAAATCTAAAGATTGATATTCAAAGATATAAAACCAGGCAATATTTTTTTTTTCAGATAGTTAAGTAGGATATGCTAAATTTAAAACCTAGTGATTATTTTTCAGGTGTTAGGCAGGATGTTGGAAATGCTAGATGAAGTTTACGTTCCTTCTATTCCACTCTTTTACTTTACTGGGGAGGAAATGCAACTGTATCCTTAATAGAAAGAATTACAAATTTTGGCCCACAATTTGTTTATACATTGTACATTTAATATTAGCAAGACTTTTTTCCAACTTGTTTTTCTGAACATCTTGAGTGTAAGGTTGTTTAATATACATGTATGTTAACATTTCCTATATACCTTGTATGCAAGTCTGAGTCAATGATGTAAATTGTTAAAGTCATTTTTTTAGGGGTAGGGGATAATAAAAAATTTAACAGAATTCATAATCTTTCATTGTCATACATATTTTGGAATTTCCATGACTTTTTGTGTCAGTAATATGGTGGACCCACATCCTCAGTCTAGGGCCATGATGGAGGTGGTATCAAACATGGACCCACAGGTATGTGTCTTAATTTGTATCTTTAAACAGTATTCTAAAGTTGAACTAGTTGTTACACTTTGCTTATTGTAACTTTTCTTACCTCTAGCAGGCCTCTATGTGACCTCTAAAATCTAGGCACCAACTGGCTCCTAATCAAAACAATTTAGTCGCCAATGCAAATTTTTAGTAGCCAGGTTAATTTTTCTTAGGCACCAATTTGAAAATTGATATTAGTCAATATATAGAGACATGTCCATTATTAACTTATAAACTTCTTTTCCACTCTTTTTAATAAAAAAAAAATTGAAAATGTTTATAGTTCAGTAATTAGGTGATCACCAAGTCAATTTAAAATGGTCGCCAATTTGGCGACCTGTAGAAAAAGTTTAGGCACCAATCATAATTTTTAGGCACCGTGGCGACTAAATTAGTCGCCATTTAGAGCCCTGTCAAGTATAAAAATTCTAACATGTATGTCTGTCATAATGTAAGTTTTGTTTCAGTACAAGTCTTAGGTCAACATTCTACTTTTTTTCCCCAGAGAAATTTATCTATTCTTGATCTATGGGTGTTATTTTTACACAATTTATAGCATATTGTATTATGTTTCACATTCAGATTTTGAAGAATAATTGATGCACTCAGAGAAGCATCAATAAAAAGTTTTTGACATAGTTAACTTTTTCAGGCTAGTCACAATGGTTTTAAGTTGAAGCAAACAAATTTTAATATAGGCACAAATATTCTTCCGAATAAATTGTAGTTTTACGGTTATTTTAATGAGTGACTTGTATGTTTTCCCCAAGATTGCATGTAATTTTTTTTTTTCATGACAAAAGTGTGGATACTTATGTCGACTAGCCTGTTACTCTGATGAGAGTGATGTCCCCTCCACAGCTGAGAAATACCTGAGCACATCCTCCTGGAAGGAAAGCATCATCAATGATATTACTTTTGTACAGGGTACAAATACTGACTGTCTTTGTATATATACAGTTGAACTTCAGTATCTTGAACACCAATATCTCAAGTATCATGGATATGTCGAAGTGATTTGAAAGCCCCAATCCCTTTTTCTTTAAGTATTTTACCCTCAATATCTCGAACCCTCAGATATCTCAAAGTTTTTTCTTGGTCACATCAAGTTTGAGATAAATAGGTTTGACTGTATATTATAGAAGATATGTATTAGTCTTTATCTGAAATTTAAGTAGTGTAAAAATATTCCTTCTAGTGCTTGATAGAATGTCAAATTTCATTTGCTGAGAATAAGGTATTGATTTTTTTTTTTTTTAAAGTTTGACTTTTAATAATTTTAATAAGAAAATTCCTGTAGATGAATCTAATTTTTAACATGCTTCTTTGTTTCTTATAGAGCCAGAAGAGGAACTCTTGCCACCTTTCAAATTTTTATTTTTCCTTCTTACCAAAAACACTGACAAATCTAGTGCAGGGAAATTCCGTCTCCATGTGATGAAATCAGCCTCCCAAATCAGTGGTGTCCTCAGTAAACAGCTTCTGATGAGAACAATACTAAAGTCTAAACAAAACAGCACAGAATTGACAGATGACCCTCTGAAGGGCCTCCCTGTTCTTAGCAGTGAAGTGATCTCAACAATAAAGGAGATACTGCATAATGAACAGAAATCATTACATGGTATATATTAAATGCCCTTAGTTAGCGCTCCATACAGATGGAGACATTTTCATTTTGGCATGGTTAATTGTCTGTCACAAAATCATGCCCAGGTCACAATGATTTAATTCTTCACTTAAATGAATTTTAACTTGAATTCATGTAGATATGCATGTTGTTCCAATACCTTGATTGAAGGTTGTGTCACTGGACAATGAGAAACTTAACTGGTGTCTAAGCTATAACTCTGGAATCCATGACTAGAATGAATTCGTGTTGGAGTATAAAGTTGTAGTTGACTGTCAGATGTGCCCTGATCCTGGTTCAAGGTCATATCTCAAAGGTTAAGGTAAATGGGTAGTAGTGAAGTGGTGTCCTGACCATGACTTAAGATTCAAAGCTAGGTTTGTTGTGGCTGATTTTGCTTAAGATTTTTTTTTTATTAATTCAGGGACATACATGTATCTTATGGGGATAATTGGAGATGGTGGGGAGAGACCTCTGCTTTTGTCAGAAAAAGCATTTAGTTCATGTCATTAATGCTTCAGATAACTTACAAATAGTAGACAGGCAAATATAAGTGTTTCTGCCTGGTTGATTGCAGTTATTTTCTTTTAGGGGAAAATCCTTCACTTCCTAAAGATGTTGAATCTGCTCAAATAGCAGGATTGCAAGAAAGAATCATTGAAAAAATCAAAAACAGTTTACCTTCATATGAGGGAGTGTCTGATCAAGACTTAGGTAGGTGAATTATATTTTGCTGTCAGATAGTGACTTGAGTTACTTACAAAAGGATGAGGAAAATCCAAGGATTTACTTTGTTTAATAGACATTCAAGGTGACCAGACACCACTGATTCCATATAAATTTGCTGAATTAGACAACATTCCAGATAAGACATTTTGAGCAATTTAATTTACTGAAAGGGACTACATGTATATCTTAATAGGCAAGATTTTGGAATACACAACATCCAGATTAAACAAGTTTTACTGTATTAAAATCATACAAATTCTACTGTTATAACTTTGTCTCATAAATGTTTAAATCAGCTTATAGAAAAGTTTCTCATGTTGCTAAGGGTAAAATTACTTTTTATAAATGTTTAAATGGTATGGTCACTTTTTGGCAGATCTAAGCACCATCTATTTCAATTTTTGAAATGCCATAGTCATTTATTGAGCTGAATAATGCACAATTATAAGATTGGCATTTTTAATAGACACCATCGTTCTTTTAATTATTTATAAGTATTCTCACAGCTACCCAGCTGGAGATGATGTGTGTCTATCCAGCTGAGCTACAGATGGATCCCTCAGAATGGCCTGAAAAGAAGTACCTCCAATATCAGGAGAGCCAGAGGAAGTCCATCTCTCGTTTACGGTCCACAGACAGCTTAGTGTTATCCTCCCCAATACAATCATCCCAGGAGGGTCAGTCAAATTGGCTCATGTCAACTGAATTAAATTTCACTGTACATCAGTATGCTATGAAAAATTGTGAATGCTTACAATTAATGTTTTTTTGGCTTCTACACTAGTGTGGGTTCAAATCAGGTATCTATTCTATTCTCTTTCGATAAAGGTCTATAACTCTGCATCATAAATTTTAAGGTGCTCATAATTTTTTTGTAAAGTTGATATATGTAATACTAAGCTTAATGTCAGAAAAAATAAAATCTGTTTTTGTAAAGGAAGACAGGGGAATAGACCTGACTGTAAAAAGTTCTACAAAATGAAGAGATTTTCAAAATTATCAAATTTGGACACCAGTTTGTTTTATCACAGAAAGTAGATAATCTTATTAAAATCACCAAGCAGTGAGATCATCATCCTGATTAATTTTATAAATTAATTAAATTTCAATTAAATTTGAAATTTAAAATTACTGTAAATTTTACATTTCTGTAAAATTCACATCATTAACTGTAAATACACACATGTACATGAATGTATTACAATACTGTAAATACATTGTATTACAAATTTTAAAGATTATTTATCTTTTAGATACTCCATCGACTATGGGCATTAAGAACTGTCTAAAGCTGTTCCAGTCAGACGGGACTGCTATATGCCAGGATCTCTCACCAATCAGAAAAAAGGTACAGCCTCATCCATTCATTGGTTTTCTCTATTTGCTTGCATAAGCTCTTTGTATAAGGTATTAGGTCTTTGAAAGTTACAGTACAAGGTTATGGTTACTGGGTGGAAAAGAGTTTGTTTTTTCATGATATCATTTGGTCTGCTGATCCCTTCGTTTCTTCAAGTTTGATTTTTCAAAAGTTAATTGTTTTGTACATGTTATGACTTGCAATGGATGTAATGTAGATCACCAAATTTTTGCAACAACTTATTTTCACGAGATAGGTATTTGATATTTATAAGTAAGACAAAATTTTCATGAAAGCTGGTTATTACTGTATATATGCTATGCAAATAAAAATATTTTTTATTTATTTTTGTGAACAGACCGTCTCTTGTGATAACACAAAAATAAAAATCTGGCGAATAAAAAGTTTTTTACAGTACCAGGGGTATTTGTTTCCCTTGTTTTCCTCTAGGACCCTTTATTACTTTCATGAATTTTATTTTACACAGAATTCCAGTCGATCTCAGGGAAAGCTGTCCAAGCGTGTCACGTCCAGCGTAACAGGACTTCAGTGGCCAGACTGCCTGGACCAGAGGGCACCGGACATCTAGTTAGTTAGCAGTATTTCTGAACAACTCTACTTGCTTTCTTAATTTTACCGGGGGGGGGGGGGGGGGGGGGGGGGCATCTAACTTTTAAATTGTTAAGAAGTTTGCCTATCTGTCTGTCTGTTCATAGAAAGTTAATCATTTTAAAGGTGCTTCAAAATTAACATCTTTGAATACAAGATCTTCAAACAGTAACAACTATTTGTGTATATAAGGAATTAAAGGATTTTTGTAGTGAAAACAAAATGAGTGGAATAGTCAACTATTTATAATTTTAAAATTGACATATAATTAAATGTTCATTAGTTTTTCAGTATATTTTTCTATATATTAAAGACTGTATGTAAAACAGCAATAGATGTAGCAATTCTAAGTCCATGAATATAAATCTCCATTGACATATTTGCATTAAAAATTCATACCACTTAATATTAATTTTACTTAAGTTTCACATATTAAAGGTGCTTGGACACAGATTTGAAGTTAATATTTTCTCAGATTTTCTGTATGATATCATGACTTATATGTTGCTATAGCATTTCATACTAAAATATAATAAAAATCTTATTTCATGTCAAAGTTAGTGAAATTTCAAATTTCTGGACGTGTTTGATTGACACATCCTTGCACTTTCACAATTTTTATTTTTATTCTTAATACTGAAGAAAAGTGGCAGTTTTGTTGTGTATTAATGAAAAGTATTAAAACTATAATCCAGAAAATTCAGAGTAGAAATGTGAGAAAGCAAAACCAACTCACAGTATTGTCAGTCCATGCTCAGTGGTGTGTGCAGACTTTAACAATTGAACACACCCGGTGAATCGTAAACATTAACAATAACAGAGCTCGTGCCCTGTTTACAGAAACAGTTTATGTTTCACGGGTGTATTCAATTTGTTAAACTCTGTACACAACACTGAGCAAGGGCTGACGATATTAGTGAGGGGGTTTGCTTTCGCACATTTCTACTCTGAATTTTCTGGATTATAGATGTAATGTTTTTCATTAATACAAAACAAAATCGCTTCTTTTCTTAAATATTAAGGATAAAGATAAAATTTGTGAAAGTGCAAGGATGTGTTAATCAAACGCGTCCAGGAATTCGTAGTTCCAATAATTTCCAGATAAAATAAGTTTTTAACTATATTTTCGTGTGAAATGCTATTGCAATATATAAGTCGTGATATTATACAAAAATTTTGAGAAAATATTAACTTCAAATCTGTGTTTAAGCACCTTTAAGATATTTTAAATTTTGCTCAGTTACAACAAAGATAAAAAGACAGAGAAGGTAGAGGAGCAGTGTAACAGAATCCGAGACCGCTACGTCACCACGGACACGTACAGTTCCTGCTCATCGCCCCTCTTTATAGTCAACAAAAAACCCAAAGAACTGGGAAAATATGTGGAAGACATGCTTCCTAAAACCTTGCGTCGATCCCCAAGGAAAGCTGTGCAGGAGTCAACCAAAGGAAGGCAGTCAATAGGAGTTAGATCATCACCAAGAAAGCTACAGAAGAAAGGGATAGAGGGTCAGAAGGAGACACAAATATCCCCCACCAAAAAGATCAACAAACAGTTTATTAGGTACATGTCCGGAGACTGACTTGTCCAGTACTGTGTTAAAATTTCACAACTTTTGTATCCTTAAGTGTTTGTTATAGTCCTTCAAGTAAAGCATACTTATCAGATTTAAGGACCCTCTCTACACTGCACCCTATTTTCAGGGTACTTTTGTGTAATTAGACTGACCTACCATTTGACATATGGATAGAATAAATTGTAATCTGAACTGTATTACATAATTTTAAATAAATCCAAGTATTCTAAACATTTTATTAGACCAAAATAGAGTATTTGAAAACTTTATTTACATGTATTTTATCCATTTGAGTAAGCAAAGGCAATTTTTCTTCATTATTACTTCATTGTCTTTGAAGATTTTTCCTGAATAAAAAAGGCACGCTCCCTATATTAAAAATGGGTTAGTTAATTTCAAAATAACCTTCTTTATGTTATATAATTTTCTCGAAGTCCAAAAAACATTTTTCATCGGTGTATAGAGGGTCCTTCAGGACCCTCTCTACACTGCACCCTATTTTCAGGGTACTTTTGTGTAATTAGACTGACCCACCATTTGATATATAGGTAAAATAAATTGTAATCTGATTTGTATCACATAATTTAAAATAAATCCAAGTATTCTAAACATTATATTAGACCAAGATAGAGTATTTGAAAACTTTATTTGCATGTAATTTATACATTTGAGTTAGCGAAGACATTTTTTCTTTTCTATTACTTCATTGTCTTCGAAGATTTTTCCTGAATAAAAAAGGCACGCTCCCTATATTAAAAATGAGTTAGTTAATTTCAAAATATCCTCCTATTTGTTATATAATTTTCTCAAGGTCCAAAAAACATTTTTCATCAGTGTGTAGAGGGTCCTTAATTAAGGCACAGACAAACTTCACCTATTTTTTGGAATTTTTTTTTTGGTAATATTTTGAAATATATTGAAAATCTGATAGGTATTGGAGCATGTATAATGATAACGTTTAATTATAAATATTTACATTTGCAAATATTTTTCTTACATGAACCTATTGAAGAGAAAATATATTCAATTCTGTATGAACCTATTCAGGGGTCAGAGGTCATGGCGTGAATGAATCACACAGCGAGATGATATCTTGCCTACATGTTTCTGTCACGGTGAAACTGGTTTAGGAACTTCTAAGTTGTTTAAGCAACAAAAAAGATAAAATTATTGAAACATATAGATTTTTTCATTCAACAAATGATCATTAGATCTTTCTTCGGTGTGAAGAATGTTTTTACTTAGCCTAAAATCGTGCTTACCTTTTTAACCCGAAATTCCTTTGAAGGTATGTAAACTGAAGACGATACCGCCACTTTTGACTTCATACATATATATATATATATATAGAACTCATATAATAAAAGTAAGATTATTCTCAGTAGCGATCATTGTTCTTTCATTATAAACAGATATTTCCTGAACTGGACTGCTGAACATCAATGTAAAAATTCAAATGTTGGAGCAAGGTGAACTTTCAAGACCAAACAGCTTCTAGGTCATTGTGCATACGGCGGCCCGTTCTTGTAATAAATATTCGTCTCAAATGTAAATTTAAGTAAAAAAACAACATTGTTAAAAAGTTCACTGGGAAATGAACTTGGTTGATGTGTGATCAAATCTATTGAGAAGCCCTTCGGCCTTCACAGGATTTGATCACATGACCAACCAAGTTCATTTCCCAGTGAACTTTTTAACATTGTTGTTTATTTCTTAAGTGTTTGTCATTTTAGGGTTCTAGCTGGTGAGTCACAGAGGAGACAGTCCTTATCCTCGGTAGAAATCAAAAAGGTGCAGCAAATAGATAATACACGCAGGAAATCTCTGACTGCTGTACAGGCCCCGGACACAACTGGACGACGAGAGTCGCGGTCTGAGAGACATAAGAGGGTAGGACTGGATTCTGTATTTGATGTTGTTTTCTAGGAACAAAATGTCTCTCAGCTTGGGGTTTTATACTTGCTACCAGAACAGAGTTGATCCATGAAATCTGGGGAAAATATTTGAGCTTCTCATTGCATTTCCCATATTAGTAGTTATTAAAAGTGATGTATAATTCATATTAAACATTGGGTACAAGAACATAGTGGATCCATAAAATCACATCCCTAAAAATTGGGGGAGGGGGGTAAATCTTTTTCATTGCATTGCCCATACAGTAAAAGAAGTTATCGTTAAGTGATTACAAATTCACACTGAATAAGTTTTTAGAGATTTGATGTAAAGTGACACTACATGTTGAAAAATATGCTAAACTGTAGCTTTTTGGTGAATTTTAGAAATTGGAGGAGATAGTAACTGATGTTGTCCAGCAACATGGAGTCCACACAGGGGATTCTATATACAAAGCCTGTGTACAGAAGCTCTACAGAGTCACCAAACTCTTTGTCATGGTCAGTACTCACCTGTTTAAGGGCTCTGTATTTGCAAGAAAGGCATTTTCTCAATACTCAATAAGTAGAATTTCAGTATCTCGAACATCCATATGTGGAATACCATTGGTATGACAAATGAGATGGAAATCCCAACCACTCTTTTATTTTTTTACGTCAATGTCTCAAGTTCTCAGAAATCTCAAATTTTTTTAGCTCACCAGAGCCGAAAGCTCAAGTGAGCTTTTCTGATCATATTTTGTCTGTAGTCCGTCTGTCTGTCTGTCCGTCTATAAACTTTTCACATTTTCGATTTCTTCTCCAGAACCACTGGGCCAATTTCAACCAAACTTGCCACAAAGTATCCTTGGGTAAAGGGGATTCAAGTTTGTTCAAATGAAGGGCCACGCCTTCTTCCAAGGGGAGATAATTATGAATTCGTGAAAAATTAATGGCATCATTAAAAAATCTTCTTCTCAAGAACCACTGTGCTTGAAAATATGAAACTTATGTGGAAGCATCCTCAGGTAGTGTAGATTCAAGTTTGTTCAAATCATGACCCCCGGGGGTCGGGTGGGGCCACAATGGGAGATCAAAGTTTTACATAGGAATATATAGGAAAAATCTTTAAAAGACTTCTTCTCAAGAACAGCAAAGCCATGATTGGTCATATTGCATGGTAGCATCCTCAGGTAGTGTAGATTCAAGTTTGTTCAAATCATGACCCCCGGGGGTCGGGTGGGGCCACAATGGACGATCAAAGTTTTACATAGGAAAATATAGGAAAAATCTTTAAAAATCTTCTTCTCAAGAACAGCAAAGCCATGATTGGTCATATTTAAATGGAAGCATCCTCGGGTAATGTAGATTCAAATTTGTTCAATTCATGCCCCCCCCCTCCCTCCCCCCGAACCACTTTTATATTTAAACTTTTCAACCTTTCAAGACTGAACTGATTTCTGCTTTTTTCTAGCCATAGTGCTCAGGTGAGCGATGTGGCCCCTGGGCCTCTTCAGTGATTTTTCTACACCAAATTCAGGTCTGAATATTGGCCCTTTCCCCTGTCAAAAATTACCAAGTTTTTCCCAATTTAAATTGCTTTTTTCCCAAAATAAAACCATGATGATGAATAAAGACAATCATTGACAAATTTCAAAGATTAAAAAAAAATAAAGTTATAAAATTTAATGTACATGTAGAACTGTGTCTAATTTGTTATTTTATCAGCAATAAATTGAATAAATGATATTAAAATTACTTATATATGTCATTTTACCTGTAAATTAAAGTTAACTACAATCTTACTGATTTTTCCCAAGTTGGCACAGATGTCGATGATTTTTCCCAATTGTAAAGGCCCAGGCCCCTTTTAAAAAATGTAGAAAAATCACTGCTCTTGTTTCTTTGCGTCATCTATTATGAGGTTTGATTATATATGGTCTAATGACAAGATTTTTAGTAGTTTGGATACAACATACAGTGTATATTTATCTCAAAGCATTATAATCAGTTTTAAAAGTAACAAGAAAATCATCTGATAAAACTTTGCTTCTATTAATTTTAAAAAGTTTTTATGTTAATTATAAATGGAAAAATGAAACTTTGCAGTCAATTCTGAGATTATGATAAGCTGTTGAACATAAATATGTATTTCATTTCTTATACTAGGATCTGCCAAATTCACAAAATCTGAGATCAGAAATGAGAAACATTGCTGAAGGACAAGTTAAACAGGTGGTGGATCTAGAAAAACGAAAACAGAGAAAGTAAACAACAGGTGGTGGATCTAGAAAAACAAAAACAGAAAAAGTAACAATAGGTTGCAGACTTTTAAAAGAAATCTGAAGTCAACTATATGTTCTGCTATGTGAATTGTCAACAGATATGTTTTATTTTTCTTGTTTAACTTGTTAAAGTAATTTGTGATTTACCCAAGTATCATTCAGTAATTATTTTAGAGTAGATACATAAATACATTATGTAATCTGTTTTTCTCTATCTACCTCCTTTGAAAAAGTTAAGAACCTTAGGTTCAGACAGTACACAATGGCCATAATTTAAAAAAATGTGAATTTACAGAAGGATTATTTTTACAGACTATGCATTGCCATTCTTCTTTTAATTTTACATGAAACAATGTGAATATATGCCCCCCCCCCTCCCTTCATTGATCTCATCCCATAAGCAAGAGCTGTAATTTAAACAGTTTAGGATGCTTGCATTATAATTTTAAAAAATAATTGGTACCCTTCTTATTGTTAAGGAGCAGACAAAGTTTATTTTCTAACACAATGATACCTCAAGTTTTTATGTTGAAATTGATCCCCCCTTGGTTCTGGAGATATATGACTAGGGAAGGAACCAAACCACAATATAGGCCACCTAAGAAAGCCATGTGATGTTAAAAGATGAAGAATTCAAGGAAAAAAATATCTTTAAATGAAGCTTGTAGATATGATGAGTGGAGTACAAAAGTTTGTAGACACTTGTCTGGCTGCTATGTGTTCTTGACATCCTGTTAACATTATGAATTGTTCAATGTCACCAGGACTCAAAAGAAAAAGATAACGTATTTACTTACACCTGGATGTATGTGATAAATATTTAATATATGTATTTGATAATAAATATTTAAACTCCTTGACACAGTTGTTATAAGATAAAGTACATGTACAAATCAATGCCAGCACCAATAAATTTTATTTATCAACAAATAACATATCAATGGACCTGAGATAGTGAACTAGCATGATTACTGTTTATCCTGGCTGATAAAATCCCAACTAAGTATATACAGAAATGTTTGCATGAAATTTAAAGATTACTGAGCAGTTTTGCTAAAACATAATTCAAATAATCATCTCGAGTTACAACTGTTTTAGATAATGAATCATAAATTCCTTCTATTACAGTTGCATTTGGCACTATATCTGCATCAGTGTAAGTAACTTCAATGTCAAAGCCTAAAATGGCACATTTACCAGCATCAACATTTACAAGAACAGCTGATGGGGAACCAGTTTCCTGGCTGTCATAGAAACCTATGACCTCTGACTTGGTGTTGGGGTTAAAGGTCATTTCACTTCCAAAGGCCACTGCAGTAAATCTTTTCTCCTCAGAGTAACACACTTCACAAAAGTTTTTCCTTTCTTCTATTGTATGGGTTGACACATCTTAGAAATAAAAACATTTAGATATTAGGAAAATATGTCCAGAAAGGCAAAATTAAAGAAAGCTTAATATTAATCTTAATTTCTAGACATTTTAATGGTATATAAAACTATGCTCCTTTAAAGCCATTTGCTAAAAGTAAATTACAGTCAAGAGGCAGTATTTCTTTCCATTACTTTTTTTTGTATATCAGAGAGATGCCTCTTACTTAAATTAGGAAAGATCTGATTTGCTGTAGTTTTGATGAGTAACACTGATCCCCCAGACTTAGTGAATTCTTGTATGGCTGTCAAGTGTTCTTGAGTGTCCTCCTTTGAGTTTATTTCCCCAATCACGGCTAACACAGCGTCCTTCCTCCAAACCCCTGGAGAACAGAACAAGTTTACATTTAACAGTTATCATTATATTGTACATCAACATGACAAGGTGCAAACAGAATTATCATCAAGATCTTTGGTTTTCATGGCTATAGAACATCAAGGTCATTGGTTCTCATGGATATAACTTAAAAATTCCCACTACACTCTTTTTTTAGCCAATTTTTCTCACCCTCCATCAGTTTTTCATCATTCAGTGCATCTACAGTGAATTTTGAGGTGTCCACCACAGACTTGAGAGAGTTGAGAATAAGGCGAGCTTTCCATGGAACAGCCTCCCTCCCACTGTAAACGTAGATTGTTCTGTCAGGTAGAGGGCGCACAGAGTACTCACTAGACGCACACTGTGTACATTTACCATTACTATCTGTTTGAAAATCACATTAATGATTTACTTCCTAACATCATCATAGCTTTAATACAAAGAAAGATCAGTCAGAAATTTAAATGTTTTGTATGATATTACTTTACATCAATCATAGACACTATTGTAGATACTGTGTCACCACGAAATTGCCTAAAATATTCAGATTCAAAAGACATTTGTCTCGTGGTCTGACCTGTGATTTTAATGTTCCAGTCTTCCTGAATTCCTTCTACTGTAGCGGGAAACATCATGCCATCAATCACATGATTAACTCTGACCTTTTGACCTTTCTTGAACATTTGAAATTTGCATGCCTCTGTATAAAGGTTTTCATGACTGAGATCCAGATAGTATTCCAGTTTGTTGCAGATGTCTGCCAGGACTTTCTCTCGGCTCACCACAGTTCCGCCATTCTCGCAGCAAACGCTGGTGGCAATGCCGGTAAGGTCTGGATGACGCCGCATGTCTGAGTTAACATTGATCCCCATCCCAAGCACGAACAGGTGTAGCTCATCTTGGGAACCTACAAATGAAGTGATATGTACTTCACATGTATAATAAAGATCCTATACACTTTAGTATATATACATAATAGTATTAACTTAATGCTATCTCCTTAAATATATATACAACTTTGAACTTTGGTATCTTGAACACTGATATCTCGAATACCATGGATATGTCGAAGTGACTTGGAAGTCCCAACCCTGATTCTTTAAGTATTTTACCCTGTATATCTTGAATCCTCGGATATCTCGAAGTTTTTTCTCTGAATCAGTCCCATTGAGTTCGAGATAATGAGGTTTGACTGTATATATATAAGTCAGGGGTTATTTGGATTAAATAAGCATTAAAGCTGAACACGACTTGTAAATAGGCATACGCCATTTTCGATATTACCATCTTAGATATCAGCACCAGGGTATACTCTTCACATTCGTTACACCTGACTGCTGTATTGTCACCGGTATCGGCGTGGAATGGCGACCTGTGTTCGTGCTGGTTATCTTACATTCCCTTTGTTCACATTTTGCAGTTACATATATTTGTGTTTGTATGTATACTGCACTGACCTGTGCAACTGTTGTAAGTGTCTTTGGTATCTTACTCTCCTGCATTAGAAGAAGCACACAGTTATTTTTGTCCCTACCAAGTGCTGTATAGCATACGTCCGTCTACACCGGTGATGATTGATTACACTGAACAGTGACCAAGTGAGTGGCTCTTTATATAGGGGCCCTCAGATACAGCTCGAGTCCAATCGAATAAGGCGGACAGATTCTTTTTACGAAGCGTGTTCAGCTTTAATGCGGTAAGCAGTAATGGAAGAAATTGTACAAGTGATTCTGTTGGAATCAAATAATCTAAAGCAAGTATCACTCTGTTGTAAATAAAGGCAGTATTTTATTCATCAATTACATCTTTATTTACCAGGTAAACGTCCTCCATGTTCTGCCAAGAATCCAGCAAGTTTATGACCTTTGACCCAGACATCATTTGGCCACTTCAGGCATGCTCCAGAAATGCCATAAATATCTTGTAAAGTACACACCAATGATAATGCCCCTGCTACCTCTAAATCAAACCTCTCTACAAATGACTGAAAATGCACATCACATGTATTTGGTTCAATAAGAACTAAAATATGAAATGGAAGGAGAAAGTGTAAAGATCAGGAAAGGATTCAAACCAAGGTCCCCTAAACTCCAGAAAGGCAGAACATCAATTGATGTGTCTTACCACTAGAAAATGAACCAGCTTCAAATCCCCATCTCTTGGTCCATGATATCAACCTTGGGTTGTCCCTAGCAGGTTTAAGCATGTCAGTAACATAGAATGAAATATGAGAAAATGTGACAGACCCCACCAGATTTTAAACTCCCTAAACTCACAACAGGTGCTCAGTTGAGCAAACTGAATGTCAGTGAATTAATTAATCTACCTATTTCTGCCTCTTCTTATCTTAATTTTTTTTCACCTGTGGATACCAACTTGAGGCTCCTCTATTCAAGCAGGTTTCTAGCACATGCATGATATCAACTGAGCTACCTGGCCACTTGTACACAAACTTCTCACTTTCATATCCCCTCCCCCACCCCATGTCTTTGCACCCAAGTACATCTGCCAGTTCTTGGGCACCACACTGAGTGTAACAAGGAGACATAAAATGCAGTGTTCCAGGCATGGGATAAAATCCTTGTCTTTTTCAATACATATTCTCCCTCTCTATTACAATAACTGTGCATGATGACATACATATATATGTTGTACTAATTAGATACATTTTGAGTGGCAGGAGATGGTGTATGTATGACTATGGAGAAGTACAAATTTCCCCTGTTGAGAGCGTGCCACTTGTGGTCCTTTGTTCCTCTTGCTTTGTTCTGAATTTCTGTCAGGTATATTGTCCCTGGTGGAACACCTGTGTAAAATAATATAAGTATACATGACATTGTATGTATTTTTCAATATACATCCATTTAAGATATCGAACTTTACATGCTTTTTGTGTTACCTGCCATTGGCGTTGGAAGCAAATTGAAAGTGGGGGCGCTAATTGAAAGAGAAAAAAAATTTCAAACCTGAAAAAATCCTATTTTGTGGGGAGGGGGGATCAAACTTCTTTCAGTACCAATTTTTAAATTTTTTTTTCCAAACCCTAGCACTTACCCTTCTTTGTGAAGGGGGGGGGGGGCTAAACCTACGCCCCAGTGTTCAATGCCTATATTATGTCTATCTTTGCAAAAAAAAGAGGGGGGCTAAGCCCCCCCCCCTCCGGTTCCGACGCCTATGGCTGCAAAGCAGTGACACTTATGATACTATATATTGATGACGTAAAATCAAGCATAGTATGTTACCCGCCCTGTGCTTGGCACAATACCAGGTGTCAATCAGTCTTTCCATTTATATTTCTGGACTTTTTTTAGAAGCTTACAGATGCATGTATTGAGCTGATTAAGGTATAGTTTGTAAATCTAGCTTGATAAGGTATACAGATGAAGTTCGGAATTACAACAATGTTTTTTGACAGAATTATGAACATTGGACTTGTGTCTATTAGGGTACAATGATTTCATTCCGGGGGAGGGGGGGGGGTGCTGGCAGATTTTAGAAATAATCTGTCCTCGAAAATGTTGAAAATAAATAATCCGTCCCCCACCCCCTCCCCCCAGGTAACAGAAGTTTAGAGTTTGGAAATAGATAATCTGCCCTTCACCCTTTCAGAATCAAATGGTTGTCCCATTAATTATTACTTTTCTACACCTTAATATTTTAAGGGATCTAGATTACTAACACCATGGCATATAACAATGCTCGGGCTAAGGGGAGTCGGTTAATGTTTAATGTATTTTATGCAAAACTCTCAGAACGAATTTAAAGTCACCTTGAATTCCTCCAAGTTTTGCATCATCCATAGTAGTGTCCGTAACATCCTTGTATATAATTTTCCTCCCTAAGTAAGAGCTTTTCAACAGCTTTGTGAATTGCTCACAGTCAAAATTCTGTATTGTGGACATACTGAAAGTGAAAGTAGGTGGTAAAGCAGGTCAGCTGAGATTGTTCAAGCACTGAATATATTCCTCCAGTTCCTCTTCAGAAATTCATCTACAATAGCTAGGTTTTGTTCACGAAGTCCGAAACACAATATAGGCCATAAAAGGCCCATACGATGTACGGCTGCCCTTCAGTTAATGTGTATTTACAACAGCCACTATCTAGAGAGGGAGATTAAAATAATCTAAGTCACGTGTAATCTGACGCTCACGTGTACTTCCAGTGCTGACATTCAAACTCGATCCTAAAACTACAGGCACTTGTTTCGTATACGGGGCAACCCTACTTACTTTTACCACATAAAATAAATAGGGGTGCCCCGTATACAAAACAAGTGCCTGTGCCTAAAACACTAATCTCGGTGGAGATTCGGCTGGGCTAGATATTTGGACAGTCCAAATATCTAGCCCAGCCGAATCTCCACCGAGATTACCTAAAACACATCAAACATGTCAACTATTAAGGTCATACAACGTACATGTACATGCACCTAACAACGTACATTTTAATTTAAAATCATAATATCATCAAACGTTCGTAGTCAAAAAATCAGCATAACTGGTTTTGAAGAGATATCAAATGATAAAAAAATCTGTTAATTTTGTTATTCGAAGAAAAATTACCAAAAATATACAGTGTACTTTAGCTGGTATTTACTTATGATTTGATTTAGAATAGGTGTATATATCATCAATGGGCATTATAAAGGTCTCACATAGGTCCTTCAATTGTTGGAACTAATAAATTTTACGGAGAGTAAGTAAATAAACTTAAAGTTCAAAACTACGTTGCGTATGTCCTTAATTCAAAGAGATGCATAGCTAGAAGACACTGTTCACTGGTTAAATCACAGGGGCATCTTATCCGCTCTGTTCTCTATTACACATATGATAAATACATTTATTGTATTTTATCATAGCTGTAGAACAGAGCGGATAAGATGCCTCTGTGGTTCAATTTAGTGAAGATTATGCGGACAGTGACCGCTCAAAAAGTTTGACACTTGCTATTTTTTATTTCTCCAGTTCTTGAATGAAATTAAAATTTACAAAAATTTCAAAATGAAGCTTGAAATTGAAATCTTTAATTTTCGTGCATCTTTTATGCATCTCAATATGATTGTTCCTTAAAGTTTTAGAAACGGTCTTGTATACAGTTGTCATTTGTGAATTTAAAAAAAAAATTGCAATGGATACCTATTGTTTTTTTTAAAATCCAGAAATATATTTGTTGATCAATTTTCAAAAATTGCATAGCGGATTCATTCACTTTTTCTGTCAATACGAGTCAGGTCAAATACATGTAAAGGGTATACGAAGTTTCCCTTTTGATAATGGCTAATAATTTTCTTTATCTACTTTTCTTGGAAATTACTTTTCGCACAGTTGCGTCGTCACATACCTTTATTTGAGATAAAATTTCAGGTTGGGGACTCAAATAAAAAAAAATATAAGAATAAAATAAATGGAAAATAGAGATGTTCAAGAGAATCGTCAAAAACGCTGGCGTAAAGAGGGGGACTACCGGAGGGTGTAAAAGCGTAAAACTACATTTGAAAGGGAGCACGTGCCCCCATTTACACCCTCCTGTGTTCTATTGTGAACAGAATCACAATTCTTTTCTAACCATGTTGAAAACATTTTGAAACTAACACAAAATTCAATATTAATTAATGCATATGTTTCCCCTCTCTTCTTCTCCCCCCCCCCCTGTATATCAGATTAGCTAAGTGCTTAGTTATGATGAGCAAGGGTGCCTCTTTGAAAATTGTGAAATTCATGGCCCCAGAGTCAGTGATTCTGATTTAGGACGTGGCTCTATTGATTATAAAGCAATGAAATGCATTATTTCTTTGAAAATCTTTCTGCTATTGGGTAATGAGCAAACAAACTAAATGCATGGTTATGTTGAACAGAGCCTCTTTCAAATTGTGAAATTCATAGCCCTTGGGTCAGGGGATTTGGTACAAGGGCGAAGCTCTATTGATTATACAGTAAAAATGCATTTTTTCTTCGAAAATCTTCTCTGCTCCTGGGCATGTAGGAGGCAAACAAAGTATGAATTTGTAATGAACAAGGATGCCTTTTCCAAAATTGTGAAATTTGGGACCACTTGGTCAAGTGGCCTGGTGCTGGGCAGGGCCCTGATCTTGTAAGAGAATTTGTACGCTACTGAGAGAAGTTATTCCTCTTTGCTATACACTTATGTAATTAATCATTGTAATAATGTAATTGATAGGTCAATTGAATAAAAGAATTACACATCGTCAAGAATTTTTAATGTGTAATACAAAACACACTTTCATAGTTTTTGATGGTCAGATAGACATATTAGTAATAGGGAATGAAAATGAGACACTTTGTACATTAAATCTTATTCAAGACCAAGAGAGGCCAATGTGAGAGGGAATGTGATGTGTTTACCGTAATTTTGTGACTGTTCAAGCATTACTGTTTTGTTTAGTCTGCATGGTGATAGTGGTGGCATGTACAGGCAAGTAAATAAGATTTTTACCTTACTGATATGCACCTAAGTAATAACCCAACTATTTTGTTGATCTCTAGTCATCCTTTTTCTCTTGCTCCTGGCAACACATCTTCATCTGCCAGTTTTTTTGCTGTAGTCGTTTTTTTTAGCTTGTCAATTTACTTGCTTGACCATTATTTTCTGATCCCACCACCACCACCACCACTCACTTTGAAAAAGTTTACGGATATCATCTTGTATGTGGTGTAATATTAAAATGCAAGCAGTAACTCTGGTGTAAGCCTTTCAAAGTTTATTGGCAATATTCATTCATTTAAAAGTGATAGGGGTGTGTATGAGAGAGAGAGAGAGAGAGAGAGAGAATTTGTTTTCTCTCTCTGTGTTTTTGTTTTGTTTCATATATTTAATTTTCCTCGGATTTGAAGAGGAAACAGATGAAAAAACATTATAATATAAGATATAGATAAAATCTTCTTTGAAGTATCTTTGGTTTACATGAATACTGCCTATTCCATTAATATCGCCTGTCAAATCAAAATAAGAAACATATTTCTCAACGTATGATCCACAGGTACCAGATCCATTAAAATCAAAGTAAAAATCAAATAAAAAATATTTAATGACAATTATAAAAATACTGAGGAGATGTATCAGTGGTTGAACTGGCAATGGATATGATTGATTTCATCATTGGGCCAGCCTCCCATAGAGCTACATTTATTGATGAGTTCGTGCTTCCTTGATCCCGGGTCGATATCCACTGCTGTACCCCTGTAGTGGTAGGAGTGACAGGAATGACACGCCCCCGAAATCTCGTTCACCTATTGTAAAAAAAAGCATATTGTTATATTATATAAGACCTATGGCTCTTATTTTGTAAAATTGGGAGTATACTTTAGTCCCGATAAACAATATAGTTAATACATGTTTATTTGGTTTGTACGAAAGCCTATTAGGATCAAACTACGGTAAAAAAAAATTTAAAAGGCGTTATAACGCCTTTCCAAATGGCGTTATAACGCGAAAAAGGCGTAATAACGCCTTTTGAAAAGGCGCGTTATAACGCGGAAAAAGGCGTAATAACGCAAATAAAGGCGTAATTACGCCTTTCCAAAAGGGTTATTACGCCTTTCCAAAAGGCGTTATTACACCTTTCTAAAAGGCGTTATTACGCCTTTCTAAAAGGCGTTATTTCGCCTTTCCAAAAGGCGTTATTACGCCTCTTTTTTTCAATACATGACTTACTTACCCCATCCTGGGGGCTGATTATAATTAGATCTCCAGGAAAAAAGATTTTTAAATGTGTAAAATATTTTCAGTGTTAAACCAACTTAGTCCTTCTCTGATGCCAGACGCCTCTACCAAGGTGCATGGCTTTCAGAAATTTGGTTGAAGGCTAATTGCTCATTATACCTATGCAAATAGTTTGCCTGTTATTTTCAAGAGGAGAGAAAAATATTTCAAATTTGACATGAATTTTTAATACGTGGCTAGCAAAGCCCAAAGCTGGTTCTGCCTATATCCAGCATTTTCAAAAGTAGAGTGTTGACTTCTCTTAATATGCATGCAAAATGCAAACAACTGTCTGCGAGATGTGCAGGAATATAGAAAATACTATAATTTATAATAAATATTGCACAAATAAAGATGGCTTTGGTTGAATCTTTCATATATTTACTATTTTAAAATAACGCCTTTCCATTTTTGGATATAACTCCTTTTCAAACAGGCCGGCATCTTCGCTAGCCAAGGGTTTCTGATACGCTACTCTCCTCATAAACCCTTGGCATACGGTGCTGACAAAAGACGGGATTGTTTTCGTCACGTGATCACGATTCTTACCAGCTATGCACAGATTGCGTCATCGACAGAAATAAAAAGCGTATTTTAAAAAAGAATGTTTTTAAAGAATAATTAACAAGAAGCTGTTGAATTATGTTAATTTGTTATCTAAACATGTTAAAATGCAAATCTACATCTTCAGTATTGATTCTTAATCACATATTTTGCACGTAGCTTAAGATATTGGATGACACCATATCGCTATTCATAGAATGGCGTGTTATCTTACGGATCGTTGTTTACTTGCGTTTTTCATTCCCGATATTAAAGAGTCAAGATATATCCTGAACACAAATATCGTCATTTACAAAAAACAATTGCTGATTGGTCGAACGATGTCGATCAACTCCATTCACAACTTGAGAAAAAAATCCCAACATTTTTTAACACCGTATGCCAAGGGTTTATGAGGAGAGTAGCGTATCAGAAACCTTTGGCTAGCGAAGATGACAGGCCGGTAGTACAAATGCGATTGGGGGGGGGGGGCTCCCCCACCCCACTTCTGGGGAGAAAAGACTTGCTATAGTTTAAATACAAAAATCATTTACTGATTGCTTGGTCCCTTAACATTTTGTTACAGTATGGTTAAACTCGGGCAAGTCATTGCATTTAAAAAAAAGTTTTACCGAAAAGTTAGAAAAAGTTTCCCCTCAAGTTTAGGCAGTTTAATTTTAGGGGGGGGGGGGAGGGTGCTTCTTGTTTTTTTTTTTTTTTTTTTTTGTCAATTTTATGGGAGCCCCCCCCCCCCCCCCCCACTTCAAAAGCACAGGCCTGTCAAAGACATAATAATGGCCCTTCAAAAGGCATAATAACGCCTTTTTGAAAGGCGTATTAATGCCTTTTAGAAAGGCGTAATAACGCATTTAAAAAGGCGTAATAACGCCTTTCGGAAAGGCGTAATAACACCTTTTAGAAAGGCGTAATAACTTCTTTTGGAAAGGCGTAATAACGCCTTTTTAAAAGGCGTAATAACGCCATTTGGAAAGGCGTAATAAGGCCTTTTAGAAAGGCGTACTAACGTCTTTTGGAAAGGCGTAATAACGCCTTTTGGAAAGGCATAATAACGCCTTTTTTCGCGTTATAACGCCTTTTTGAAAGGCGTAATTACGCCTTTATTTGCGTTATTACGCCTTTTTCCGCGTTATAACTCCTTTTCAAAAGGCGTAATTATGCCTTTTTCGCGTTATAACGCCTTTTGAAAAGGCCTTTTAATTTTTTTTTACCGTAGTTTGATCCTAATAGGCTTTCGTAGGTTTGACCATATTATGTAATTTATAATTACAAAGGGATTAGGCACAAGTTCTGAAAATTTATTACGCCCTCTCCCTACGTGTAAATTACAAATTGAAATTGTCACAGTTAAAAATAAAGCTTTAAAAGTATACAGAATTTGCAAAAATTTACAAATAGATGAAATTTGCAGACAGTAACTGTTTGAACAAAAGAAAAGAGACGTTCATTCTCTGTAGCACTCAATGAATCAACCCCCCTTAATGACATGTGTATCTAGAATGTGGATTTTGTCAAATTGTAAAAATTTATTTAAAAATTCTTTTCTGGCTTTCGCATACTTTGGACATACAAAAAAATAATGATATGTATCCTCTACTTTACCAGACGAGCATAAAGGACTTGATATTAAATTACATTTATAAAGGTCGTTATTCAATACACAGTTATGCCGTAGTCTGGTTTTAAGAACATTTAGTCGTCTATTACCGTATTCAAAGTATGATGGTGGAACAGATTTTTAGTACTAATTTTAGATTTGAAATTAGACAATTGACTGTAAATTTCTAAATTCAAGTGGAATTGTATTCCATTCGTTAACTACAGTAGGAATACATGTAGACATAAGTTTGTAATCGACATTTTGGAATATCACAGTTTCATCATTCACATAAATTAAAAACAAAAGTGGTCCTAAAACTGAGCCCTGAGGAACACCAACATGTAAGGGTTTGGGTGTTGATAACAAGTTGCGATACATCACCCTTTGATACCTACATTCAAGATAATTCTCAAGCAATTTATACATGTTCAAACCCCAGGCACTTAATAACTTAATACTATAAACCTTATTACAAAAAGCACCACCTTATAAATCTTACAATATATAGGTAACCTACTAATATATGTGTGTGATAAGAAGATCAGAATATAGTGTCAAGGACATGTGAAACAAGATCAAACATGTGTCTGGACTTGCACTGCTTGCACTTTTTGATAGAGTGCAAAACATTTCACAGAATTAGTCACAGAAATTAATGTAAATATTTAGAAACAAATGCAACCTAAGATTTTAGCTTATTTGTACATTGAATGTCTGTGAAATTCATATAGATCGAAGGTTAAAAGTTTGGATAGTCCAGTGTGAATTACAATGTCTCTGTGCCATACTGGGTTAGTACGAATGTCCCTTAACTTGTATTACACAAATCCTGCAAGTGATAACATTATTATCATAGTTCTTGCTGATAAAACAATATTTCAATTCCTAATTTGACCGCTAAAATTGATTCCCCGCTATCAGAAGAATCTAAAGTGGAAGATTTCCTTTACTTTCTTTCTTTCTCTTTTGCAATAACAGACTGTATGTTTCGATTAAATCGGAATCTTTGCAAAAACAAATGAATGAGTCTATTAGACGATCTTCTAAAAAAATGTCGGAGGTGGGGTTGGGGCGGTTAGCCTTTATAGAAATTTTCTTTGCACCCTCCTTAATACTATGTGCCAAATTAAACCAAAAGGCATGGGAAAATTACAAGTTCAGCAAAAGAAAAAAATACAGGTATTATTTTTCTGTATGAATCCAAAATAAGAGGTGTTTATATCTTAAATGTGTGTACAAAGTTTCAGTTATGTGGTATTTAATACTGTTGGAGATACATGTACATATGAACAGTTTTATGTCTTATTTTAGCTTTATTTTACGTATAATTAATGCAATATCCCACAGCAACAAAAAAAATTATTTTTTAATCTGATGTATATTTTTTGATACAAAAAGGGGGGGGGGGGGCTGGGCCCCCTCTAAATCCGCAAGTGAGAAAGGTACCCCCCCCCCTCTTTTTAGCCTGACAGACTGCCGGAGTGGAGTCGTTACTAAACCAGTACTGTAATCGCTGTTAGCGACACAGGTAAAAACATCCTTTTTTTCTTACGTGAATGTATCCATGTGAGCCAAGATCCACCAAATAGCGTAATAAAGTCTCGCTCAAACATACGTGACCACCAGGGGCACCAGGACTTCGGCACTCAGAGCATGTATAACTGGAAAAAAACAACGTCTCTAAATGCAGGCCCGTAGGAAGCAATTTCAGATTTGGGGGGGAGGGGATTACAACTTAACTTTTTTTCAGTTTGGGGTGGGGGGGGGGGCAATACCAAAAATTCAAAATTTCCTGATGAGCAAAAAAAAAAACTCATCAGATGTTATTATTGAGGAGTTTGTATAGTATTCTATATATATCGGCAAAATTATTAAGGGGGCACGGCCCCCCGTGCCCCCCCCCCTCCCGGTTCCTACGGGTATGAAATGACGTCGTATAAAACTATGAAATATATAGTTAAGAGCATCAAACTGTAGAATAAAGTACTGAAGAAAAATATAAATACTGAGATCTAGAAGCTTGGTGGCCGTTGCAAGTATCCTTGATGTTATTAAGTGCATAAGCATTGTCATGCACACCAGAAGGGTGGCGGTCCCAGAGATGGATTTTACCAGAGTTGTGCATCTGCAGGAGCTGACAAGCGAGGGATTTTGCGTTAGCGGTACACGAACCCGAGCCAGATGTTCCCGCCGAGCAGTAGGAGGCAGCAGCTTTGTTTAACAGTGTCCCGGCTACCCAAAGATTCTACAGAAATGTTACCAAATCAAAGACATTCATTAATTCAGTGTCCCGGCTACCCACAGGTTCTATAGAAATGTTACCAAATCAAAGACATTCATTACTTCAGTGTTCCAGCTACCCACAGATTCTATAGAAATGTTACCAAATCAAAGACATTCATTCAGTGCCCCAGCTACGCAAAGGTTCTAAAGCAAAGTTACCAAGTCAAAGACATTCATTACTACAGTGTCCCAGCTACGCAAAGGTTCTATAGAAATATATAAGACACTCGTTAAATAATATCCCAGTTACCCCAGTTTTACAAAGATGGGACTCAGTCAGTGACATTCATTTAAACAGTGTCTCATTTGCCCAAAGATTCTACAGAAATGTGACCCAATCAGAGACATTCATATTACAGTAATTTAGCTAACCAAAGATTTCATGATCATCAATAGAGTGTCCTAGCTACCTACAGGTTCAGAACAAGAGGCCCAGGGGCCACATCGCTCACCTGAGCACTATGGCTAGGAAAAAGCAGAAATCACTTCAATCTTGAAAGGTTGAAAAGTTTAAATATAAAAGTGGTTGGGGGGGGGGGGGGTGTCATGAATTGAACAAATTTGAATCTACATTATCTGAGGATGCTTCCATTTAAATATGACCAATCATGGCTTTGCTGTTCTTGAGTAGAAGATTTTTAAAGATTTAACCTATGTATTCCTATGTAAAACTTTGATCACCCATTGTGGCCCCACCCGACCCCCAGGGGTCATGTTTGAACAAACTTGAATGTACACTATCTAAGAATGCTTCCATATAAATATGACCAATCATGGCTTTGCTATTCTTAACAAATAGTTTTTTTTAAAGATTTTTACTATGTGTTCCTATGTAAAACTTTGATCGGCCATTGTGGCCCCACCCGACCCCCGGGGGTCATGATTCGAACAAATTTGTATGTACACCATCTGAGGATGCTACCATATAAATATGACCAATCATGGCTCTGCTATTCTTAACAAATAGTTTATTTTTAAGATTTTTACTATGTGTTCCTATGTAAAACTTTGATCGCCCATTGTGGACCCACCTGACCCCCGGGGGTCATGATTTGAACAAATTTGAATGTACACTATCTGAGGATGCTTCCATGTAAATGTGACCAATCATGGTTTTGCTGTTCTTGAGAAGAAGATTTTTGAAGATTTTCCCATATATTCCCATGTAAAACTTTGATCGCCCATTGTGGACCCATCCGACCCCCGGGGGTCATGATTTGAACAAATTTGAATGTACACTATCTGAGGATGCTTCCATGTAAATGTGACCAATCATGGCTTTGCTGTTCTTGAGAAGAAGATTTTTGAAGATTTTCCAATATATTCCTATGTAAAACTTTGATCGCCCATTGTGGCTCCACCGACCCCCGGGGGTCATGAGTTGAACAAACTTGAATCTACACTACCTAAGATGCTACCATATAAATATGACCAATCATGGCTTTGTTGTTCTTGAGAAGAAGATTTTTAAAGATTTTTTTCCTATATATTCCTATGTAAAACTTTGATCGCCCATTGTGGCCCCACCCGACCCCCGGGGGTCATGATTTGAACAAACTTGAATCTATACTACCTGAGGATGCTTCCATGTAAATATGACCAATTATGGCTTTGCTGTTCTTGAGAAGAAGATTTTTAAAGATTTTTTTCCTATATATTCCTATGTAAAACTTTGATCGCCCATTGTGGCCCCACCCGACCCCCGGGGGTCATGATATGAACAAACTTGAATCTACACTACCTGAGGATGCTTCCAAGTAAATATGACCAATCTTGGCTTTGCTGTTCTTGAGAAGAAGATTTTTGAAGATTTTCCCATATATTCCTATGTAAAACTTTGATCGCCCATTGTGGCCCCACCTGACCCCCGGGGGTCATGATTTGAACAAACTTGAATCTACACTACCTGAGGATGCTACCATATAAATATGACCAATCATGGCTTTGCTGTTCTTGAGAAGAAGATTTTTAAAGATTTTTCCTGTATATTTCCTATGTAAAACTTTGATCGCCCATTGCGGCCCCACCCTACCCCCGGGGGTCATGATTTGAACAAACTTGAATCTACACTACCTGAGGATGCTTCCACATAAGTTTCATGTTTTCAAGCACAGTGGTTCTTGAGAAGAAGATTTTTTAATGATGCCATTAATTTTTCACAAATTCTCAATTATCTCCCCTTGGAAGAAGGCGTGGCCCTTCATTTGAAAAACTTGAATCTCCTTTACCCAAGGATACTTTGTGGCAAGTTTGGTTGAAATTGGCCCAGTGGTTCTTGAGAAGAAGTCGAAAATGTGAAAAGTTTACAGACGGACAGACGGACAGACAGACGGACGGACGGACAGACGGACTACAGACAAAATGTGATCAGAAAAGCTCACTTGAGCCTTCGGCTCAGGTGAGCTAAAAATGGGTACAGTCAATGATCCGCTTTTCTCAAAGTTCTACAGAAAGGTGACGCATGCAAAGATATTCATGAAAACAGTGTCCCAGATACCCGGAGATTCACAGAATTATGACCCATAGAAAGACGTTCATTAAACAGTGTCCCGGCTACCAAAAGGTTTTACAAAAAGGGGACTCAATCAACGACATCCACGTAAACAGTATCTCATTTGCCCAAAAGTTCTATCTGTGACCAGATCAAAGACATCCATAATATACAGTATCCTAGCTACCCAAAGGTTTTGCAAAAACATGCCCTAATCAATGACATGAATTCACTAAAACAGTGTCCCAGGACTTGACTCAAATAATAAAGGTCTTCGTCTATCATAAATTAAAAATGCAACTTACCAAGTGCACCAATATAGATAAACTTTTTATATCCTAAATAGCTACTAGTACTTTCGAGATAATTTGAATACCTGGGTTCCAGACACGTGGGTGAGTTGATACCATGTATAGCCATCACGAGTTAGGATCCCGCCATGGATTTTGAAACAGTCGCCGGTGTTAAGTGATGCTCCAACAGAAGCAGACAAACCGGCTGAGGTACAAAAACGTTTAAAAAATAAAAATATAACGTCAATTTTATCAATTGCAGATATCATTAAAATGTACGCATAGGGGGCCAGACTACACGTTAACGTTGAAATGAAATTGTTTTAACCTTCATGTTCGTAAATGCTTATAAAATTGTTTTGTTGATGCATGAGTTTTTATAGTCTAACAAATGCAATTACATAACAGTTAATACAGTATACACAAATAATTTTGTCATTTAGTCACAAATCATTCTATATTGTGATATAGGTTGCTTATAAAAGAAATGCTTTTTTGATATGGTAACAATATGATTCAATATTTTATTTCTAGAGAAAGGACAGACATTTATACAGTCAAGGGTGTTACGTAACTAGCACTTTATCGTTAGGTCACTTATTCAGAAACCACAGCAGAAGTAATGTTGGAAGTATAGGACTGGGGGTGGGGACGTGCCAAAAGATCAACAGTCAAAGTTGACTCTTTTGCACCCAGATATTGATAATATTTTTTTTATATAAAGTCTTGATTGGTTAATTAGGATACATACCCGATGTGCGGGCATTCACATTGGTCCCGGTTACACACACGCACTCTCCCGTAGTTACATGTTGTCCCGTGATGTTCGCAGATACACCAGCTAAGAAAAGCAGGATAACACAAAACACCGACGCCATCTTCCACTAAATTTGGGACGTCTTGGAACCTATATATTACTTGCAGTATATCTTATCTATTTTGGAGTGTATAAATAGATATCTACATGATATGGAGTTCTGTTCCTACAATATTCAGAGGTTGTACGACAGGGTTTTTCAAACAGTGGCATACAGTGGATCTTAAGTACTTGTAGGTCAATATCCTCCTATCTTTCCATTCCTTAAAAGCAATGGGCCTCAGCTCCATTAATTTTAAGGAATGGAAATATATTCGGACATAAACTTATATGGAATGTATTTCAAACCGAACACCGCGTTGCAAGAACGTCAAGCATTTGAAACAATTATTTTCAATTGTGGTCAGAGCCAACCATATGGTGGCATATTTCTGCCCCATGTGTGCAAGTTATTTTAGGAATGACTCTAATTCTTGGCCAAATTATTCGAGTATAACCTGGTTTGGGTCAGTTTACGCTTTATAATCCGCGAAGCCTACCAGCCTTGTTGTTTGTTTACATGTGGTAAGATCGAATTATTGTTTGGTAAATTTATTAAATCTGGAATTTTCCATGAATCCCGAGGACTGGAAATGAGAGGATTGTATGGATACCGATGATTCAACTGGTTGTCAGGGGGGGGGGTGTCCCCATACCAAACCAGGTTATACAGAAATAATTTGTGTTCCTTTTTGGATATTAACCAATCAGAGGCTAGAATACGAACTAAATTAAATTATTTTTCTGTCAAATATGTCGACATGCAAGATAAATATGTTGACATGCAAGATAGTTATGTCAACATGCAACATAATTATATGTTGACATGCAAGAAAATTGCAATCAGATAAGAATTATAAAAAATCCTTTATAAAATTTCAAATAATGCCCACATGTGACTTCCAATGTTCCAGATGCTACTTATTTATGTCGACATGCAAGTTATTTATGTTGACATGCGAAATAAATATGTTGGCATTCAAGTTATTTATGTCAACATGCAACTTATTTATGTTAACATGCTACTTATTTATGTCAACATGATAGAAAAATAACTTGCACACAAGGGGCAGAAATATGCCACCATACAACCATGATTGTAATATTTTTTTAATAGCAGACACGAAACCCTGACCAGTCAAACACTACTATAAAAGTAAGAATCTATTTCAATAGTGGACGAAACAACATTTCTAATCCTTCCCCTGTTGTATATAAATATCAAATGAAGTCGATCTTCTTGTCTACCGTCACTGCACGAGGTACATTCTTCTATACTTCCTCAGATTTGTCTTCTTATATCATCTTAATGGATAATGATTTAATGACATATCCTGCGGCGATTGGAAAACATTGTATGTCTATGGCATGTAAAAAGTTGCAATTTTCGATCTTTTCCATTTTTATTGTATAATTGTTCATTTGTATTGTACAATTTTTCATTTGTATTATATAATTTTCCATTTGTATTATATAATTTTCCATTTGTATTATATAATTTTTCATTATTCTATAATTTTCCATTTCTTTTATATAATTTTCCATTTCTTTTATATAATTTCCATTTGTATTCTATATTTTTTTCATTTGTATCCTATAATTTTCCATTTCTTTTGTATAATTTTCCATTTCTTTAGTATATATGAACTTCCATTTGTATTGTATCTGAACCATTTGTAATCTATAATTTTCCATTTGTAATCTATAATTTTCCATTTGTATTCTATAATTCTCCTTTTGTATTCTATAATTTTTCATCCGGTTAATACAAGTTTGTCATATTTGTGTTGCTTTAGACAATAAAGAAGTCACTTAGTTCGCCTTTTGTTTTACTACACTGTAAGTATCAGTAAGACATCTTACACGGTTTGATTGAAAGGTTTAAAATATAAATAAGAAGTATACGGATTTGTGGGTGAAGTCCTTGATCGACTCCTTGCTTGGTTGAATCGACTTCAGTGGGAAGAACGAAAGCAGGGGTTCCCCAGGGCTCTGCTCTTGGTTTTCTACTTTTCTAAGATTATATATTATTCCTATCACGTGGTCTCCTGGGTCTCTCAAGGCTAGTTGCAGGTGATACATCCTGCCAAAAACCTCTGAAGACTGAGTGGACTTAAAAAGACTTACTAATTATTAAAAAAAAAAAGGCTTCTAAAAAAATTGCAGTCCTTCGTAAATTGAAATTAATTGCAAAGTCCATGTTTTTGCTGTGGGAAACTCCAAATATCTGTCTGATCGAAACGTACAATAGAAGGTGCATAATATTAATGGCACTATGTAATAAACATTCTTTGAAAGTCTGAATGATTACTATAGGTGACCCACAAATCCTTGCCAGCCTAAAAATATCTTATTTCTGATTGTTCAGGGTTAGGAAGGCGGCAGCCAACAAGGCAGGACAAGATGAGGTGAAGCCCTTGTAAGCTCCTGAATTCTAGAGATTCTGCTTGGCAATACTGAAGTCTTCTAAGTAGACAATTTTACTATTACTTGCTTGCCCTGTCCAGCCATCTGTTTGTCCGCAAAACCTTAAACATTGCCCATAACTTTTGATTGGTTGGAGCTATATGGCTTTCATATTTCACGTGTATTCCTTATGACAAGACCTTTCTTTGGGTACTATCACATTTGACCTTGATTTTGGAGTTTGAACCATTTTTGCAAAATTTTACCCAACTTCACATGTGTAATCCTTGTTACCAGACCTTCCTTTGGATACAAACAACTTTGACCTTTTGACCTTGACCTATGAGTTTGACCTCCTTTTGGAAAACTTTAACCTTGGCAATAACTTTTGAATGGTTTGTGCTAGGGCTTTCATTCTTCACATATGTTGTCCTTGTGACAAGATTTTCCTTTGAATACCAACAACTTTGACCTTTTCACATTGACCTTGGAGTTTGATCTCCTTTTGGAAAACTTTAACCTTCGACACAACTTTTGGACAGTTGGTGCTAGGACTTTCATTCTTCACATATGTAATTCTGTGACAAGATCTTTCTTTGGATACCAACAACTTTGACCTTTTGACCTTGACCTTGGAGTTTGACCTCCTTTTGGAAAACTTTAACGTTGGTCATAACTTTTGGACAGTTGGTGCTAGGACTTTCATTTTTCACATATGTAATCCTTGTGACACGATCTTTCTTTGGATACCAACAACTTTGACTTTTTGACCTTGGAGTTTGACCTACTTTTGGAAAACTTTAACCTTGGACACAGCTTTTGAACAATGGTGCTAGGGTTTTCATATTTAAATGCCTATTCCTTGTGACAAGACCTTCCTTTGGATGCCAACAACTTTGACACTTTGACTTTGACCTCCTTTTGGAAAACTTTAACCTTGGCCATAACTTTTGAACGGTTTGTGCTAGGGCTTTTATTCTTCACATATGTAATTCTTGTGACAAGACCAACAACTTTGACCTTGACCTTGGAATTTGACCTTCTTTTGGAAAACTTTAACCTTGGACACAACTTTTGAACAGTTGGTGCTAGGGCTTTCATATTTAACATGTCTATTCCTTGTGACAAGAACCTTCCTTTGGATACCAACACCTTTGACCCTTTGACCTTGGAGTTTGACCTCCTTTAGAAAACTTTAACCTTGGCCATCTTTTAAATGGTATGTGTTAGGGCTTTCATTCTTCACATATTTTATCCTTGTGACAAGATCTTCCTTTGGATACCAACAACTTTGACCTTTTGACCTTGGAGTTTGACCTACTTTTGGAAAACTTTAACCTTGGACACAAGTTTTGAACAGTTGGTGCTAGGACTTTCATATTTAACATGTCTATTTTTTGTGATAAAACCTTCCTTTGGATACCAACAATTGTAATCCATTGACCTACTTTTGAAAAACTCTAACATTGGTCATAACTTTTGAATGATTGGTGCTTCAGCTTTCATATTTCACCTGTGTATTTCTTGTGAGAAGACCTTTCCTTGGGTAACATTAATTTTGACCATTTGACCTTGGCCTTGATGTTTGACTTACTTTTGAAAAACTTGAACCTTTTCCATATCTATTCAATGGTTACTGCAAGGGCTTTCATATTTTACAGGTATACTCCTAAAGACAAGACCTTACTTTGGGTACCAACATATTTGATTTGCATTTGAAAAAGTTTAACCTTTGCTATAAGTTGCCATAGGGGGCATCAGTGATTCACAAACACATCTTGATCCCTTTTAGATTCTCATAAGATAAAAAAAAATCTTCATGCACATGACAAGTGTTTATAGAGGTAAATACAGTACACTTATGCAGGTATATAAAAAAATTCAAACATATTATTAAAGCCAAGTGACAAAAAATTGAAAGTAATGATAAGTATAAAATATATACATGTACACAGTGGTAAAAGAAACAAATGCTGGAATTCAAATGATTATAAAATAAAAGTTTAACAATTATAAATTACTCTCAAATTTACTTTGGTCTCAAAATTGGAAAAAAAAACAATGCATCAATTAGACTTGCTTTGTTAAAAAAGTTTCTTAACACGATTGCTTCCCTTTACATTAAGGCTAGCATGTTAACCCGTAATGTACAAGTTTTACATTGGGGAATTTTTTTACAAAAAGGGGTGCAACACTGAATGTTGGTTAGAGTAAACTATTGCTTAAAATAAAGCAGTTCTCATTGCAAACTAATAACCTTATATCAAGAATTACAGATATAAAGCAACACTTTCAAAATGCATAAAACTTGGTGCAACCTTTTACTGAATCAAAACACACCTCAATCATATGTATAATTAATGCTTTAATGTATATAATTACTTTACAAAAACTACTGCTACAATATTGTTAAATTGAGAAAAATCAGCTACAATAAATCTATCAGAGAAAAGGCAAATCTTACAAGTTATCTTAATCAGGGACTAGTACTACTAACTCGGGGAAAAACTTGAAATATACATACATGCATTTGAAAATTTACATATATATATGAACTTGTAATATTAATAAAACCTTACAGTTTTCTTTTATGCATCTAATAGCAACTGAACTCATCCAAGTTAAAGCAAAGGTCAAAATACCTTTTACTCAAAAGTATCTTTGGTGCCAAATATGAGTTTAAATGTTTCTCTTTTATAAAGTGTTGAACTACAATACAAGAGGCATGACAGAAGCTATACAGACATGATGATTCCAAAATACTCCCAACCTCTTTGGTAAACTTTGTCTTTTTTTGCAGGGGATGACACTAACTAAATGCTATAATCAGCAGCTGTTGTACAGCCAAGCTAGTGATATATCATAGCTATATCTTTACCGTCTGGGAGAGGACATATTGAATTTGGAATGGTTGATTGTGCCAAAGATCTTCACCCACTGGGAGAGGCCATATTGAATTTGGAATGGTTGATTGTGTCAAAGATCTTCACCCACTGGGAGAGGCCATATTGAATTTGGAATGGTTGTATGTCAAGAATCATGTCTTGAACTCTTAACCTATGACCTAAACTAAAGGTTCGTTATGATCTTGATTCAATGTTTTATCTCAGAGGTTAAGGTTGATACATGAATATTTCTATTAAAAATCTTTGTTTGATATACATGTAAATTAAAATGTCAATAAGATGTTGCTGATGATCCATAGATGTTCTATATCTTAAGAGGTTATGGTTATGTTGCTGAGGTCAACAAATGATGGCCAGGAGAAAGACATTAATTCCTCTCAAAAAATAATATATAGATCTGTATTTTAGCTTTTTGTTCATTCAACAACTAGACAGGTCTATGGACATCATTGATGGTTTTGTTCTTATTTTATGGGAATGAAAAGGTAGGTTATAATTTGATAACTATCATAACAAAATTGTGAAACACTGATGCCCCCATATGGCAGCTCAAGGCTAAGATTAAAGTTTTTCAAATGAAGGTCAAACTCCAAGGTCAAGATCAAGAGTTTAAAAATGTTGGTATGGAAAAAAGGTCTTATCACAAGGAATACATGTGTCAAATATGAAAGCCCTAGCACCAACCATTCAAAGTTATGGCAAAGGTTAAAGTTTTTCAAAAGTAGATCATACTCCAAGGTCATGAGTTCAAAAATATTGGTACAAAAGGAAAGGTCACAAGAAATATATAAGTGAAATATGAAAGCACTAGCAGCAACCATTCTCAAGTTATAGGCAAAGTCAAAGATTTTACAAATGTAGGTCAAAGTCAAGGGTCAAGATCAGGTAGTCAAAAATGTTGGTACCCAAAGTGGTCTTCTCAAAGGAATATACATATGATAGATAAAGCCTTTGCACTAACTGTTCAAAAGTTATGGCCAAGGTTAAAGTTTTTCAAAAAAGGACAAACTCCAAGGTCAAAAGTTAAAAAAAAATACTGGTACCCAAAGAAAGGTCTGGTCACATGTAATATACCGCTATATGTGAAATATAAAAGCCCTAATTCTAATTGTACAAAAGTTATGGCCAAGGTTAAAGTTTGGTAAAATTTTGCAAAAGTAGGTCAAACTTCAAGGTCAACGTCAAATATATTGGTATCCCAAGAAAGGTCTTGTCACTTGTCACAAGGAATACACATGTGTTCAATATGAAAGCCCTAGCACCAACCGCTAAAAAGTTATGAGCAAGTTTAAAGTTTTTGTGGACAAACAGATAAACAGACTAACAGACAGACAAACAGAAAGACCAAACAAGAGGCCCTTGGGCCACATCGCTCACCTGAGTAACTTTGGCCATGCTGTTCTTTACCAGATTTCCCCCCTTTTAATATACCTATTGTGGCCCCGCCCTACCCCCGGGGGTCATGATTTGAACAATTTAGAATCTACACTACCCCAGGATGCTTCCATATAAGTTTCAGCTTTTCTGGCCCAGTGGTTCTTGAGAAGAAATTTTTTTTAAAGATTTTTCTTATATATTTCAATGTAAAACTTGGATTCCCTATTGTGGCCCCGCCCCACCCCCGGGGGTCATGATTTGAACAATTTAGAATCTACACTACCCCAGGATGCTTCCATATAAGTTTCAGCTTTTCTGGCCCAGTAGTTCTTGAGAAGAAGATTTTTAAAGATTTTTTTTATGTATTTCAATGTAAAACTTGGATTCCCCATTGTGGCCCTGCCCCACCCCCGGGGGTAATGATTTGAATAATTTAAAATCTACACTACCCCAGGATGCTTCCATATAAGTTTCAGCTTTTCTGGCCCAGTGGTTCTTGAGAAGAAGATTTTCTAAGATTTTTCTTATGTATTTCAATGTAGAACTTGGATTCCCTATTGTGGCCCCGCCATACCCCCGGGGGTCATGATTTTAACAATTTATAATCTACACTATCCCAGGATGCTTCCACATAAGTTTCAGCTTTTCTGGCCCAGTGGTTCTTGAGAAGAAGATTTTTAAAGATTTTTCCTATATATTTCTATGTAAAACATTGATTCCACATTGTGGCCCAGCCCTACCCCCGGGGGTCATGATTTGAACAATTTAGAATCTACACTACCCCAGGATGCTTCCATATAAGTTTCAGCTTTACTGGCCCTGTGGTTCTTGAGAAGAAGATTTTTTAATGACCCCACCCTATTTTTGTCTTCTCTTGATTACCTCCCCTTGTGAGGGGACTTGGCCCTTCATTTTAACAATTTAAATTCCCCTTCACCCAAGGATGCTTTGTACCAAGTTTGGTCAAAATTGGCTCAGTGGTTCTTGAGAAGAAGTCAAAAATGTGAAAAGTTTACAGACGGACGGACAGACAGACGGACGGACGGACGACGGACAAAATGTGATCAGAAAAGCTCACTTGAGCCTTCGGCTCAGGTGAGCTAAAAACTATATGCCCCAAAATTTCTGATTATGGGGGCATAAAACCAGCTTTCATGAAAAGAAAACTGATACATAAATGAAACTACTTGTAAGTTTTTTTTTTCATCCAGGGAGTATACATGTAGCATTATAGAGATCAATAATAAGATGATACGTACCGGTATACAGATATGTGTGTATATATATATATATATATATATATTAAATATGATATGATATGTGTAACATTCTTGCTTATTCAGCTGCCCAACTTAAATAAAAATTATGAAATATACATTGTAACATATTCTAAAACCTTATCTATATTTTTTTTTAATTTTGAGTGAAGGACTATATATGATAAGAGTCAATTTTGGCCCCTCATAAATCTCATTTTCAAAAGTGTTTCAGGTATGTTAGATTGTTTTCTAATTTTGTTAAAAATTTTTTTACATTAATTTATATACATCTTACATCTATTCTCCTCATTTATATGCACTCACTGGCAGTATATGACATAAAAAAAGGAGGCTATTTTTGCAATCCAATCAAAATGAGACAAAAATGTACATTTTTTAAATGTTTTTTTTTCATTGGAAACGTAGAGTGCAGCTTTTAACTAGAAATTTTTTATTGTGAAGTAATTAGTCTTTGATAGAAAATATAATGTTAATTCAAGCCTGCTATTAATATTTTCTGGAAGGAATGAGCAATTTTATACAACTATCCTAAAACTTTGGGAAAAGGTGAACTTTATGATATCATATTTCTAAATTAAGGGCATGTGGATCAATCTGAAAATTAAAAAAATAAATGTCATCTGTTTAGCTGTGTAAAGTAACCCTAAACATTTTTTATAGAGTAAAAGCATTATATTTACTTAAGGGGCCACTTGAGACACTAATTATCACATATAATCTTTTCAAAAAATAAAAAAAATATTCCAAAGTAAGACTACTTTTGAATTGAAACTCTCAATATTTTTGGAAATATTAAGTCTATTTTTTTTCCTTACTAGAAACTCCAGAAAAAATTTGATTGTTCTTACTTTAAATTATCTGATTCTGATAAGTTTTATATTAAAAATTCCTATAGTGATTTCATTATGATACTCAGCAAAATGTTGCATTGAGGTAAGGCACTACATAAGTGAAATTTTTACATATTACAAAATGATCTAAGTCAAATTCTTACATTACTATAAATATTCATATACAAACAGTATAGGGATTTCTACAAAAAATTAATCTATAGGACAAAAATATGTAATTAAGAAAAACTGGAATGTTGGAAGTGGGACTATGACAAGGTAATTGACATCTATCAAGTGGTTCAAACATGTTTTACAGTCAAAAAGAAGTTAGATGCATTCCATTTTTCTAATAAATGTGGGACTAAATATAGGAAAAAATCTGCAAACAATAAAAGAATCTTAGAAATGGAGACTGATATTGTAAATAAATTAAGCAAAAAAAAAAAAAAGGGTAACAAATATTTTGGTATGTTTCAAAAAAATCTTCTCCCTGAATTCAGAAGTATAAAAAAGTTCAAGATTCTGTATAACATAAAACATTCCATATTTCTAGTAAAAATGATGGTCTTTTCTTAAAATTGTGCAATACAACAACAGAATCACTTTTTAATGAGCACAAGGTTGTGTATTTATCCTCTTCATACACTGTGTTAAAACCATCAATATGATACAATGAAAATTTCAGTTCTTCTATGCAGAATGCTATATAAACATCCTCTAAGTGAAAAAATGGAATGTTTTTTGAAATCTGGGCTACTTTTTTGACAACATTCATACTGGTCACATACCCAGTCCCAGAACAATAACCTTTGAACTTTTCTGAGGGATATTCCGCATAGGACACGTAGTACTTGGATTCAATATCCCTAACTGGTCCGATGTCTTCCCTACAAAATCCTCCAATGGAATGCTGTAGTTGAGTTCCATGCTTTGTTGTGATGTCTAACATTGCTGGAATATTAATATACACATCATCATCTGTTTTGACAACGAACGTGTCATTTGGACAGTGTTTTGCTGCCCAGTGATAACCTAGAAGAGTTTTTATGGTTAGTGTGTAATAGTTGTCTGGGAAATCCCCCTGCACAAAATCTTTATAGTATTTATCCTCCTCGTCTATCATTTCTTGTAAGTTAACATCATGAATGGCCCCTAAAATAAAGGCATAACGAACATTGGCTAAGTTTTTCTTTGCATAAGTGAGCCAAGTTTCCCTTATAACCATTCGCCTCTTCAGAGCCTTAGGAGTTGTGGATATCAACAGCACTAATTGAATGTTTCCTGGATTTTTGCAAGTTTCAGGATATTCTTTAAGCATTCTGTAATGAAATTTAAAACATTCATCACAACGATTTGGTCTCACAGTGCCATTAAGTGTAATGGTTCCATCGATTTCATGTCTTGCCATTAACCAGAGTCTTGCACGTTCTTTGTTATACATTTCTTGCTGGTCTTTAACACATTTCTCAAGGATCATGAAACACAGAGTTGTAACCCCAATCACCGCTAGTCCTTGTAGAATATTTCTCCTGTGTTTTCTCAACATTCCAATCATCCTAAAAGAATCAAAATCATCCTTGTAATTATAGACATTACTAATTAAAATATATACTTAATGTTGACCATGGACTTTCTATAAAAATTTATTACCCCAAAATGGATTAAAACAACAGTATATTCTAAATGATGTGTACATTTAACATAGCTGGAATCAGTATTTGGCTTAAATTCATGTAGAAGTCACTCTTACTGCGATCTTCCATGTTATTGTAATTTTAGCACACTACACTGACCTGTCATTGAATGACCTGTCATTCTTTCATTGTGAATCTAAGTTTAATCTGATTATTTTATTTGTCTGTATTTATCCTTATCACCTTTGTCATTGTTTGGGATGAGGTAAACATTTACATTAGTGATCACAATGCTTTACAACAACTTATGCTTTAAAACATTCTGTATAAAAGAAGACAGATGTCAGGTGTAGACCTTTGTGACCAGTTTAATGTACATTTAAATCTGTCAATGACAGGACTCCTACATCTGTAATGTGTGGCTTGTGCAATCATAATGCAAAATTGGAATAATTTTGGGCAGAGCTGTAGATACAGATTTCATTGCTCTCTCTCTCTCTCTCTCTCTCTCTCTAGCACAATGAAAGAACTTCAAATATATGAAAAAAATTCTTTTATCTATGTGTATACAAGCATAGCCTATAAGTAGGACAGGTACACATTTTCTTCCTGTGTGCAGATACTGTGAAAAATGTTGATTGAAAAACATTGAAGTAATAAACATTTAAAAAAATGCTGTAAAGTATGTAAAAACATGTTTGGCATTTTAGACAGATGAAAGGATAGATGGCCACTAATGTCATGAAAACTCCTTAGATGTACAGAAATGGATATGAAAGAAATGAATTTAATTATCATTTTTCAAAGGGCTTTGCTTTGTTCCTGCAGTAAGTGGAGGTCTAAACACCCTTAAGCTCACCCTAACTGTTCATTTGTCATCAACCAAAAAAAAAAAAAATTAAAAAAAATAAGGAGCCTCTCTTAAACCAAAACTATGAAACAAAAGCACTCTATTTACAAAATGTCTTGTGACTGAGATCTATATCACCTTCTTCCCAACCAATTTACATATCATTTCTATGTAAAACATTGAGAAAGGTTTACTTTGGGAGCATGATTAAAAATTTGAAACTGAAAAGTAATACCATTAAATTGTTTAAAAAAATTTGGATCAAAATAATATATCTCATGCATAAGAGTTTTACTGAATTTGCATAATTATAAAAACAACAGACTAATAAGCACAATTATAAATAAGAACAATCATAATAGGTAAGCATCATTTTTATCTATGTAATATATTTTTAAAACAGGTAATCAGAGATTACAGAGCTCACCTCAACAAATGTTATACATGTATTTATTTAAGGCAAAGTCCCAAAATAAATTTATAATCTAGTAGTGTGCATCCCTAGAAGCGACCTTTATACAATTTACACAATTTTGGTCTGATAGGGCTTGCAGTTACTTGAGAATGGACTTGTCTAAAACTTTAAACTAGATACTTTCGTTTTCAAACATAAACAAGCCGCCATGTTGACTGAATACTTATGGCACGTGTCTGTACTTAAGAATGGACTTAACTATGAACATTAAACTAGTCACTCAACCAGAAAATGTAAGTCAAATCAAGCATTCAAAGCAAGTTTGAGAGTGTTCATCCCTTGATGCATCATCCATGCAAGTTTGGTCTAGGTAGGGATGAAGTTACACTGGAATAAGTCTGCTCCAAACCTGGTCACTTGCCTGAAAAATGTAGTTACATGTAAATACAGCATCTGAAGTAGTTCCAGTAGTGTGCATCACGTGATGCATCATCCATACAAGTTTGGCTCAGATAGATCTTGTAGTTTCTTGGTAATGGACTTGCTCCAAAAAACTTTAACTTGGTCACTCATCTGGAAAATGTAGGTCAAATCCAGCATCTGAAGCAACTCTAGTAGTGTGCATCCCTTGATGCATCATCCATGCAAGTTTGGGTCAGGTAGGCCTTATAATTTCTTGATAATGGACCTGCTCCAAAAAACTTTAACTTGGTCACTCATCTGGTAGTTTGCATCCCTTGATGCATAACCCATGCAAGTTTTGGTCTGGTAGGCCTTACAGTTTCTTGGTAATGGACTTGCTCCAAAAAATATAACCTGGTCACTCATTTGGAAAATGTAGGTCAACCCCAAAGGAAGTCCAATAGTGAGCATCCTTAGTTGTATCATCAGGCATGTAGCTGCCTATACGCAAGTACGCAACTGTGCACACCATTTTAAAAACATAAAAATATATGTGAGAGAGAGAGAAAATTGCAATATCTTCCAGCAAATATTTTTGTTTCATTTTTTTTTTTGGTCATCAAATTTCGAATAAAATTTTGGATATCATGTTCATACAATCAAATTTGAAATTAATTATTAAATTATTACCAATTCCAAATAAATTATTCATTAGTTTGTAAGTATTCTATAACATATTGAAAATTTTTTCAAGATATTTGAGAAATTAAATTTTAATCATATCATTGAATGGATTGATCAAATAGTACATAATTTAAAATACCATAGTTTTTTCACTAACATTTATTATACTTGTTGCTGAACATTATATCCTATAAAAAAGTGCAGCCTCAGGGCTGCCCCCAGACCCCCTGCCCTTCTCTGCGTACACTTCACTTCCACTCTGGCTACACGCCTAATCATCCATGCAAGTTTGGTCAACAGACAGATTATAGTTACTTACTAATGAACCTGCTCCAAAAAATTTAACATGGGCACCCAACTGGAAAATGAATGTCGGATCCAGCATCCGAAAAAAGTCCAGTAGTATATATCCTTAGATGAGTCATCCATGCAAAGAACTATATGCGGTATATGCACATTTTTGCCCCCACAAAAGTCATATTTTGAAAATTTCTTGAAATGTGCTGAATTGTGTATATTGTGTGAGAAATCTAAATTAACAAAAAATATTAGAGTTTCGAAGTAGATTATTGGCAACTTTTGTTTCTATGACGTCACAAACTATTCGGATTTTGTGTTATTTTTCAGAAAAAGGAAAAAATGGACAAAATTTATTCAATTTTTACTATAGAATTTATAGAGCGCAGGCCTGCTCAAGAACAATAATTACATATTTCATTGATATTATCATTCTACACATTATATCAAAATATTGAGTTGGAGCAGACCTGCGCTCGATGACTTTTACTCAAATTATCGACGTAATATACACTTTTTCTGTATAAATCATTGAAATTTTGAATTTACGTCATCTTTCTGACGTCATATCTAACATATGGCGTCATGGCTTATGAAAATATTCAGTGCTTTGAAGTCTGCAGATATTCCCCTGTTTCAGAACATAATTATATATTTCTCCGTCAAAGTTTGATTTTGGGGGCAAATATTGGTTATTACCGAATATAGTCCTTTGGTCAACATAGGGCTAATAGTTAATTGAGAATGAACCAGCTCCAAAAACTTTTACTTGGTCACTCAAATATAGGTCAGATCCAGCATCCAAAGAAATTTCAGTACTGTGCATCCTTAAAGGTATCATCCATGCAAGTTTTTATCGACATAGGGCTCATAGTTACTTTAATGAACCTGCTCAAAAAACATTATCAGGTCATTCTTTAGCTAAAATTGCAGTATCTGAAACCTTGACTGGTACAATGAAACACACTAGAAGCATCATCTCTGAATAATCAAATAAAGGGGATAGAGGTACCTAGGTACCTGAAAATAAATCTGCTCCAAAAACTTTAACCTGGAATGCTGATGCCAACACTGAGTGCGACGCAGAAGATATTACATAAGCTCCCTCAACTTTGTTGAGGTGAGCTAAAAATCATAATTTTTACTGCATTTAGCTAAATAAATCCCATCAAAAAATAGCACACTCAGTATTTAAATAGCCTACTGCTGGGGAATCTGATCATTTCTGGGTCTTGGCTATTTAGTCCTTAGGATCTGAGATTTTATGGAATCATTTTTTGAGGCACCTACAGAAGTTTTGCATGATGTACACACATTTCAAAATGGTTAACTGGAATTAACCTGCACTGGATCAGATGTACAATGTGGAATCATTTTAATTTGTTGGGGTCAATGTTTGTGGGCATTCAAATTTTAATGTTTTGTGGGGAGGTTATTTCATGGGTAACTGTATATAGAGAAGATTTTATGAATCAATAATTGACAAAGTTATGGTTGTGGGGATGTAAACACAGTTACACTGGACTGCCATGAACAATGATGATTCCTCAGTAAGAAATTTTATGTATCTGTTACAGAAAATTCCATCCCCATCAATTTTTTGAGAGTAAATTAATTAAATATTTGTAGCTGCTTAGAAAGCACATTAACAATCCCCATGTTCCCTATGCTCTAATTCAAAACTGGAGAAATTAGGTTTTCCTAGACAATCAGTGCACACTGAAACTTAAATTGCATAATAAAAGTAAAACTTGCTTTTCAGGAATTTTTGAAGCCATCTTTATTAATTCCTCAAACAATGTACTTTATATTCCTTATAACCTCTGAGGAAACATTTTCTTTCTATAAGGAAGTCAATCCCTACAGATTTATACATTACTCAGTGTTTGTAAATAGTAAGCTGACAAAAAAAATTAACAAATATTTACGTGTACTCAAAAAACACTTTAAAGCTGGAAAATAAACGCAGTTGTAAATATTACTGATAAAATGAAAGTCCGGAAAATGGATTAAAGGTCAAAATGGTGTCACATGCATAGGCAATTTGCATGAGAAGTACAAAAACTATAATTTATGAACAGTCAACTAAGTTTAGTTATATATCAATCGACATAATTTTTTCCCTAGGAAGTTCATCTCAAAACTTGAAAAGCAGAAATAAAAGTCAACTTTACACATATTTAAATGTTCTGTTCTATTTCACTGTCTATCCTGGTAAAATATTCAGTACTCTACTGTACACCTACACCAGGGGTTCAATTCCAGCATTACATC